AACCATACACAAGGCAAATCTCTTATTTGGAAGCAACTAAATTTTGTAGGAGCAGCTCCAAATCAGTCAATCTGCATGATGGAGCACACAAATTATAGTAACAAAATTAAGCGAGAATAATGGGACAATACCCAGGTTGTCAACAATGCACTATACCTTATGTTACTCAAGTCGGGGTAGACTGCTATTGCATCACTAAAATCCTACATTAGATTCAAAAAGACGATGCATCAAAATGTAGCCGTTGGTTGGTATTTTCTAGTTTAATTTTTGAACAGATGGCAAATGCCTCACCTGGTTAGCTGTTGAAGGCGTGTAGGAAACCACGCATGACATCCCAGCTTTAGTTGCTGCCTGTGGATATTAATTTAGTTGGTGAGAGTTCAAGAAATTTGCTCCCCTTTTAGAAAGATAGAGTTCAAGCATTGTGATTTATACTAGTTAACTTCATTCAATGCACTTAAAGCAAAATAAAAAATAAATTTTAGATCTGTAGTTTGAAGCCATGTTAATATTGTCACATTGAAGAAGCCAAAGGCATTAAGCGCATCTTTTGTTCAAAGTTCAAATTACACACACAACACAACATTGATTAGTGTTGAGAACCTAACCTGTAAGCCAATTACACTATCTTCTATCACCAAGCAGTCCTTTTCTGACACACCCAGCTTCTACAAGACACAACATGTGAATCATGCCCCTTATGTCAGCACACGCAATAAGGCTTAGATTTTCATGTATCTAAGTTACAATATATATTAATCTAAACCTTGGAAGCTGTGAGATATATTGATGGATCAGGCTTCTTTGCCTTCACATCATCACCTGAAAATTAAAAATGATTAATAAAAAAAATAGTTGATCTCAAATGCCACAGTTAATTAAAAAACAGCCAAACCAGACAAGCAGAGCAGAATTCATCAAACGCATCATGCCGAAAATATCCTCTGGGAAAGATTGGCAAGAATTGGGTTCGCATAGAAATGGAGAACTAAGCTATCTCAGGAGAGAGTTAACTTTTTTGGCATGTTGAAGAGACGGCAAATTGATTTAGAGTCTGATGCCTCGGGCATCGTTAGTTAAGCATTGATCCACTACTTTATATATACACAATAAACGCCTCCATGTTATATGAACAATATAAAGGGATATAAAAGTGGGCTTAATACCTGCTAGGAAGCAATCAAGGCTCTCAAACCGCTCCTAAGATACCAAAAATTAAGTAGGTTGAACATATGTTGGAAAGTATATTTTCATTGTGGAGAAGTATACGAGAAAATGGGCTTACAATTCCTATAAGATTCTCAAGACAGAGAACAACTGAACTTTTAGTCGCTGCCGAGCAAACAGCTAGCTTTTTCCCCTACAATAGCAATAGAGGGGAAAAAAAATACTGGCCAATAAGCAGACGTGCTTAACTATAAGAATGATAAGAGGGAATAAAGTGATCAAAAAGATGTCTAAGAGAGAGCAGATTCTGCCAGAAGTTAGAAGCAGATACACGTCAGGCGGGACATCAATAAGAAGAGATCGATACACTGTTTAAAACATGATCTTACAGCATCCTTGACCTCATCCATCAATCTCAGAACTCCAGGTCTGGGTTTTACCTATTCAACAGTAGCTTATTTACAACGTAAACAGCACCTTCTCGCTTGAAGCAGACAGAATATGAGTTAGAATAGGAAAACAAAAGAAGTATACTTACAGCTCCGGACTTGATTATTTCTTTGTACCTCTCAGTTTTCCAATCCTAGACCAAGAAGAAATGGAAGATATAACAACGGCAGATTGTAGGTGAGATGACAACCACTCCAATGGTCATAAATAAAAATTCAGAAGTAATACGTTCTTTCATGGCCTCTCTAAAGTAATATGTTATTCATGCTCTACATGGATACAAAGTACTTCTGGTAAGTTATTATGAGTTACCTTCATCCTAAGTTCCAACTGCTAAACACAGAAAATATATACGGTAATATGTAAGACAACATATACACCGTTTCTCATAGCAGACAAAGCAAGACACGTAGAAGCATTGCAAATCGCCAAAGTAAAAGTAAGCACACATCATCAAGCAGAGAAAAGCACCTGAATAATGTCTATCAGCTTAGCTCGATCGTCATCATTACTCGGAGGGGTCTCAAATATCGTAGAAGAAGGCCACCCATGCTCTTTGAAGTACCTTATAATCCATGAATACCGACGAAACAAAAGAACAGATAAGCAACATCAAACATAGAGACATAAAATATGTATTTGAAGTGAGAGATAAACAAACCATCGCATTTTGGGTTTGCCTCCGCCAATGCGATTCTGGAGCTCATCGTAGAATTCGATGTCCCAATTGAGAGGTTGAGAAGAAGAAGAGGGACAGAGAACATTGAAGTGAGTAAATGCATCGTTGTATGCCTGGCGATGCAAGTGCTCGGACTCAAGGATGACACCATCGCAGTCGAAAATGAGAGCTTGAAGAGAAGATGAGGAAGCTGAAGCAGACACTGTGAGGACACGATGTTTGGAGGAGAATAGCTTAATTCGGGGATTCAGAAACCGATGTTTGGTAATGATGGTGGTGGTGAGGGAGAGAGAGCTAAGGGGACGAAGATAAGAGGACTTGGTTGGGAGACTACGAGGAGGAGAGGTCAGAGTAGACGCCATAAGAGTTGAGAGTTGAGATGATCAAGATTGTTGAAGCTCCTCTATTTCTGTGGCTGTGGCATCCGCTTCAGCCCCTCTAAAAATGTCTTCCAGCCAGTGGATTTCCCAGGGGCTATGAATTTATGATCGTTACTCGTTAGTCGTAGAATCAGTTTTTTAATTAAAAAATTATATCCCTTATTAATGTAAAACTAAAAACTAAGTTTACTAATAGGAGAAAATTAAAAAATTACTTAATTATAATATATGATATATATATATATATGTATATATTTATTATATATTAGTTTATAAGTTAAGCAAATTAGTTTAAAAAATAATAAATACGATATTTTAAAGTAATTTATTTATCTTTATTGATATCTTCAGATTATTCAACCAAACATTATATTTCGTAAAATGGCTAGTATGATAATAATAATGCCAATAGAAGAATATTACTATAATAATTATACTATATTACGATTATAGCTATAGGACATCGTGCATTCGCTGGCCACAAAAAAGGGTATCGTGTATTGCATTCAACCTGTATGGAGACTGTCATTTAGTAGGCAAAGTCCCCCCCCCCCCTTTTGGTGCATAGTACACAAAGTTCGTGATGTAAATATTTTTACTGACATCAGTGCTTGGTAATTCAATGGATGAATTAATGGGAAGGTCCGAGTTCTATTATAACTTAAAATAATTGAAAGAAGGTGCCAAGGGAAAGAAGAATTATGTATCACCGAAACCAATGGCAGAATAGAAGCAATGGTTGCATATTCAGCTAAACAATTTGAAAAGCCACTGTTGAAAATATGAGGCACACCTTGAATTGGATGAGCCTACCTTCTTCTTCCACAGCTTGGGTGAGTCCGCCTTCATCACTATGTGAAGTAGTGAATCTTTAGGTCCATCTACAGGAACGTGGCTGTATTGTTTTTCAGAAACCACAAGGACAGACGGCGGCAAGTTTGGGTCTGATGATGTAAATCTGTTTGCAACTTTCCTTTTCCCCTCTTCCGTCCTCTCTGCCCCTTTGCTTTTTTTTTTTTTTGTTTAAATTTTGTTATTAAAAAAAACTAGGTGGAGCTAAGTTGGAAGAGTGTGTTGCTATATAGGACAGAGTTGTGGAGAGAATGGATCGGAAATTGAAAAGGTAAGGAATTGAGTTATATGCAAGTCAAAAATTCAAAAATTATCATAGTTTAGGGATTGAATTACAAATGAGTTAAAAATTGAAGAATTAAAAGATTAATTTTTTCTTTTTCTCCCCTTTTTTGGTACGTATAACGCAAAGTTCAGGATGTAATACAAAAGCATGTTGTATGATTGGGCTCAACTAGCATAATTCAACTTGCTTTGAAGACTAAATCCTAATCTGTTTCATATAATTACGTTAATTGAGTAAAATCTAAGTTATAATTTTTGTGAGTGTGTGTCAAATTATATGTATAAGAAAATCGATATAAATCAAGATAACTTGCAAATTGTTAAAAAAAATCTCGTAAGCTTTTGGGATTGGCTTTTATTTACTCCGTCAACTAACGTTTGCCTTTCATTGTTACAAACCTTCTGCCTTTGAACGTTAGCTCAGCACCTCATATACCATCTCAGAGCGATTGTGTATCTCAAAAAGTAGTTCTGCCTGTCCACTCAACAAAACAAAAGAGTACTTACAGCTGAAAAATCCAGCACTATTGCTCCGGTGTCGGTAAATCCATTTTGGATTCTCTTTCGCATAATGAGTTCCCGAATAAGCCTCAATTATATTCCGAGATCTTACAATTCACCTTTATTAGCCACGAGTATTATTTGTTTTACGCATCAAGCACAGAGAAAATGTTGATACAAATTCTGGGTGATTTAATCAAGACATCGATATTATTCCGTCGTCTTCATTCTGTTTTACTTACAAAAATCTAATTCCTTTTCCAAACTCGCCATTTATTAGCAACTCCAGGTTCCTTTATTACACACACACTTTCCAGACAGAAGCAGAACGATGCCCATAACGGTACATAACAGAAAAATACTGCTAAAACAATTATCAGTAAAATCTCACTCAATAAATTTTTACTATTGCGGTTTCATATGGTTCAAGACTTCCAAGTCTTTCCGGTCTCTTCCCAACAAAGGAACAGAATGGCCTCTAACTCGGTTTTACGTCACCTCGTTAGATCCCAAGGCAAACTTACAACCGCCGCAAACCAAACATTTCAGAGCAGGAGAGAGAACCAAATCACTCATCCAGGAGGAGCATGTAAGTATGGGATCAGGTCGTGTGGATTCCAAGAAGATAAGAGAACCGCCATCAGATTGAGATTTGACAGCAGATAGCAAAAACAAGAAGAAAATAAATATATAGAGATGCGTCATTTCACTCGAAAAAGTATGGCAATCCACAAGTCACAATCTCTCGAGGATACATAGAGATCGTGAAAAATCCCCTCCTAACCCCTGCCACACAAGAGGGAGGCAAATGCGAAGCTTGCTCGGAATTTAGACGCCACCGTAGAGTCAGAAATCCGAAAAATGCAAGTCTGTAACAAACTCTGTACAGGTGTATCGAACTTCAACGTATACAAATAATTCTGACACCAGATAGTGACGCATATCTGCAAGCCCTAAACCAATCCCATGGATCCTCGAATCAAACGCGAGATTAATAAGCTAACCAGCGAGATTAAATGAACAGAGGCAATTTCCAATTTTCCATGGGACAAATCGAGACGATAATAATTAAAAATCTCAATCTGGACAGATGGTTCCTTAGCTACAATTTCTAGGGGTTGAAAAAATGGCCACCACAATGGCATTTCCAACCCAGTGGCTTGTAATTAGAGTACCGGTTACCCGGGTATGATGGACCGGAGAAACTCAGAGGAGTCTTTCGGGTTAGACCCGGCTTGAGCTTCTCGTGGCTGGGCAAGGTTGGAACTTGAACCGCCATGCATGGATGGCACGCGTTGCACTTGTTGTGGCAGCTAGGAGGCATCGAACCTAGCCTGGTTTTCTCCTCAAGAAGAAGATCCTGCACATATCCAATTGAATCCATATCAAACCAGAAGCACAATCATGAAGCGGACAATTATATTGGAGACACAACCCTGGGCTTTACAAAGCCTACCCGACGAGAAGTCGAAGGCTGAGGCTGATTAAAACAAAAAATTGGACAGAACAGGTGATGCAGGACTATAATAAGCAAGGTGGTGATTGTGGTGAAGTGCTGATATAAATTAAGCGAAGCCATGACCATGAGAGCCTATCATGTCACATGGTAGTCATTCATTCCCCATCTAAACCAAAACAAGAGTAACTGGTAAAAAATAAACGCAAGTCAAGTGAGATGCGAATGGCAGTTTTCTGAAACTTCCTCCGCCGCGAGAGAGAGAGATCGGGTTCTGGAGAGGTGGAGTTTGTGTGTTAATGGCGTCTGGAGGGAAGATAGGTACATAAATTGTTGGGATGCGGTGGCAGCCTGCAAGTTTAGAGAGAGATAGTGGAGTCTGAGACAGAGAGAGAGAGAGAGAGAGAGAAGAGGGCGCAGACTGCAGCAGAAAAGTGAAAGGAACGATTCAAGAAAGGTAAACAAATAGATAGTATCCCATCAGTATCAAGGACCGCTTGACCAGTATTCTATTAGGAGTTTTGAGGCTGATTATTAGTGGCTAGACGGACAGCGAAAGGATTTGTGCATCTCTCAGAGAGGTAAAAAGCCAAGTCAGGCAGTAGTTAAATTCGGCATTTATTATGCTAGCTAATTTTCGTCTCCTTTTTCCATATCGTGGACTCATGGCTTTGACTGCCATTGACTTGGTTATTAATAATGAGAAGTTGAGGGCAGCTTCAGCTTCCACCTGACTTGATTAACAATTTATATTATGGCGGCAAAATAGGTTCTGCTGACTGGAAATTCTCAATCCGATGCAAGAAAAAAGAACGAGCTTCATGTCCCTAAAAGCTTTTTGGGTTGTTTGATAAAAGCAACGTGGGATCTTTAAAATTTTGTTAATGTCGTAATCCTCTTGGCTTCATATTCCCACAGAGCCAGAGGAAGTATCAGAAAGGGAAAAAAAGAAAGAAAAGGAAACGTTACAGACATTTCTTTTTATTAGCAAGTAAGAGGCACTTAGAATTTAAGAAATGACAAGCGATTGTGCATGGACAAAGAACGGTTTGAGGCCTGCTGTCTATAAAGATAAATTGCTAAAATTGGATTAGCACGCTTCCATGAACATCTTACACAACATAAGCTTGAGGGTATTTGGAACTTTCTTAGTGGTACAGTTTCCATTTCAAGGTTTCTTGATTCCTTGTTATGATTTCACAGCTTGCAATTAGTCAAAGCAGCTAATAGATCATTCACATCGCAGTATTGCACAGTGAGAGAGAGGGGATTGTGATAGTGAGGGAGCGTCGTACGTACCCTTTTTCTACTGAGAAGGAAAAAAGATCTATCTGCAAAAAAATATTTCCATTTTTTGTGGACTACAGCCTTTTTCCATAGTTCTTACAGAAGAGAGGAGTTGTCGAAGATCATCAAAGCAAGTAAAGCAATCTTCGCTTTCGTCGCTTTTTCTGAGTTTTCCAATCAGGGATTCAATTATTTACCATTCTCAGAGTAAAAGGTGGCGCAAAAGACAAGGATAGTCACGCTACCTTTCTGTGTACCATTCTTGCCCTGGCATAATAATAAACGAATACTGTGTCTTAAGTCTTGACTCGTCTCAATTACAACTTCGATTTGTATGGATTTCGTAACCTTATTAATGGCTGCTGAGAAGACCCTGTCGTCTTCGTGGATGGCGCGGGATCGGAGTAGCGGAAGGGCGTGGGTAATGTGACAATTGTGACTGCAGATTATACAAATAGTAAGATTTATAAGTAATTTTTTAAGATTTCACGTGTTAATTTAAAAAGTGTTTAGATAAAAACCAAATCATGATTTTAAAAATAATTTTACAGTATGTGAAATAAATATGTGAAAGAATTTATCTCGATTTATAAAAAAATACTTTTAAAAAATATTTATGAGGATATCCAAATATTTCTTTAACCAGGGTGTCAATAATCAATTATTCGGCCAACCCAGTTTTCCAATGACTTTGGGGTGTTCGGAACTTTTTACTTTATCTCCCGGTAGTATCCGTATAAAACTATGTCGAATTCTTCCGGAAACATGACCATTTAGAATCTATATTTTCATTATTTGGAATCTTATTTTCATTATAGGAACGAACCTGGAACATACCATTGGGAAGTGATTCAGTAATTAAACCCTCATGATTTTATTTCTATTGCAATTAAAACCCCTTTCCCGTATTAACTAATGTATGTGGAGTGATATTAGAATCATGATTAATTAAAAAAATTGTTCTACCCTTTAATTCATATGAAATTGTTTAAAAGAAGGTAATTCAAGCTCTAAAATCAAATTCGGCTCCTTTTGTTAATCCTTTGCGACACAAAAATGATAGAGCAGGGTGACTGTGAAAAAAACCTGAAATTAAATCGATTTCAAACATTTGCAAGTGAAAAAATTTGCTGGGACAGGGAGAAAAGAAGGCTTGTAATAATTTTGTATACTAAAAGAAAAATAAATATCCCAGTTAGATCTGGCATATAAATGATAGAAGCCGGGCTACAAGTGTGCACTATATTAAAGAACAGCTATATAAAATGGCATATGCTGAGCTGCTGATAACTTTTAAGATTTCCAATACGAGCCTATTTAGAATCACGTTAAAAAATATTTATAAATATATTTTATATAAGTTAAGACAAATTTTTTTTTTTACATAATTATTTTATATTTTATAAATTATAATTAAAAAAATTATTTATAAACCATTCTAAACAAGTTCTATAACGATCAAGACATTCTGAGTTATTTGTGTAATTTCTCATGATTTAGTTGTTTGAGAGTTCCTAATATACAATACTTTGTTTCGTTACTATTTATATATTTAGTTTGATTTAAATTTTCATTCTGTCCCCACAAATTCAATATATAATACAGTTCTTTAATTTTTAATAATATTTATTTTAGATTGAGGATATTACTACCTTCTGTCTTAATTATAAAATCTCATTTGTAGTTTATAAATAAAATCAAAGTCTTATAATTATAAAAAAAAAAATAGAGGCAGTTAAGATCTAAAATAGGAGGCATTAAATAGCGGCAAAAGCAAAACTTAAAAAGAAAAAAATATCTTATATACTACATAAATTTTGTTTCCCCTTTAGTATGTGTTCTTTTAACAGGATAAGTAAATCAAATCGAGGTTTTTAAAAGAATGACCATCCAATATTTTTATGCCACCGCTAGCGTGTGTAATTATCATTGGCAAAAGATATCCTCTTATTTATTAATTTATTAATGGAAATATCCGATTTGATTGACATGGATCTATTCGGGGTTCCCCGTTATCACTGTCTTCCAAAGTCTGATTTGGATCCTTCAAAAAATCATTAATTAATTTTATCAGAGATTTAAAAAAAAAAAAAATCGGAGTTCATTTGCGGTTTGCCAATTGCCATAGCCATAGAGCCTCACTTTTCCCGCAAAGGCGGTTTTTGGTTCCATTTCTGGAGCTTGCGCCTGGAAGATACTTTCTTTGAGAAACTGGAATCGGGGAAGCAAAGATTCACTGATCTCTGAGTCAGCGGTCGCCGATCTCTGTGTTCGTGAAGAAGAGCTTTGGAAATGGCAAGTGGAGGCTATGGAGAAGCTAACCAGAAGATCGACTTCGTGTTCAAGGTGGTGCTGATAGGCGACTCCGCAGTGGGGAAGTCTCAGATTCTAGCTCGGTTTGCAAGAAATGAGTTCAGCTTGGATTCCAAAGCCACGATCGGTGTCGAATTCCAGACTCGGACTATGGTCATTCAACACAAGACTGTCAAGGCTCAGATCTGGGACACTGCTGGCCAAGAACGGTGCGTTTCAGAACTCAAATCTCTATCCCAGTTCTTTCTTATGGATGCTATCTAGTATAAGTCATTCGTAGTGTCCAGCTCTTTTGGTTCAAATTTGAAATAGTTTCCCTGCCTGTCTTCGCCAATACTTACTAGGCCACTCAGGAAATACCTGCGTTTGTGTATTTTGAGTCATCGTTCACTAGCGCGTGAACTTCCGTCTTCCTGCACTTATGTTTTTAATCGCTGGCGCGGATTTAGTTCAAAGCAGAGGCGGAGATAATAATCTATAGTCTCATCTTTTTTTTATAGAAATACAGACATACATATATGTATGTATGTATGTATGTATGTATGTATGTATCTAAGATTAGCGAAATAAATTCAGGCCAAAAAAAGAGTTCAATTATTGGGTCTAATCTCTTGAATATTTTAATGGCTTTGCAGTGGTATTCTATTTTACAATCCATTGGCAAATAGATTGCCTATAAAGGATTTGATCAATGATTTGTTATCAACTGGTTGACTTGCCTATTTTAACATTTTTTTTTTAATCCCTATCGAATATTAAAAAGAGAAAAGTTAAAATGCAGAGTTTGGGTGTGTAGTTTTCGTTCTTCTAAGAGGAGGTTGCACAAAATTGTCTGCTCATGCTTCTGAGTTCTGATAGTTTGTTTAGAGTAATCCTAGTCATGCTGTACAAGAGTGAGCGAAACGCAGTGCTTAGGGCTTATGGAAACGTTGAATTTTTTTTATTTAATTACGATCAAGATTTTGCTATTTTCAATCTGATTGAGCCTTTGGAGCAGTTTGTTTTCCGTAGGATGACAGAAGTCTTAAAATTGATGCACCTTCAGATTCTTTTCAAACCAAAGTATCAACGTAAACAAACAATAAAAGGGAAATGGCTACAAGAGAAAGCCTTTCATTGACTGGTCTTTACTTAGCATTTTGCATCTTGGTAATATTGGCTGAGGAGCCTTCCGCATGCCTTGCTTGGTCCAGTGGGGTCAGGGCTTGAGTTTTCGAATGCTATATGATCTGTTCTGGTTAAATTTTTTCCTTTGAGTTCTGACACAGAAGGTGCGGGTGCTTTACCCTTTCTATAGTTGCTTAATCAGCTGAGTTTTGTTTCTTCCCTGTATGATTTTGAATTAAGATGATTTATAAATTGCTGCTTTTCCTGATTATGGTTCATTGTTCAGATACCGAGCAGTTACGAGTGCATACTACAGGGGTGCTGTTGGGGCAATGCTAGTTTACGACATCACTAAACGTCAGAGCTTTGATCATATACCTCGGTGGCTTGAGGAACTACGTAACCACGCTGACAAGAATATCGTTATCATCCTAATCGGAAACAAAAGTGATCTTGAGAACCAGCGTGCAGTACCCGCAGAGGATGCAAAAGAATTTGCCGAAAAAGAAGGCTTATTTTTCTTAGAGACCTCTGCACTGGAAGCAACGAATGTTGAAACAGCCTTCATGACTGTGTTGACAGAAATTTTCAATATTGTCAACAAACACAGCCTAACTGCTGCTGAAAATCAAGGAAACAACTCCGCATCCCTGTTAGGCAAGAAGATTATTGTTCCTGGCCCTGCTCAGGAAGTCCCAGCCAAGACGAACACGTGTTGTCAGTCATCCTGAATTAGAATTTGGTTTCAATCTTTCAGATTCACGGGTGTGTTCCTACTACAAAGTTTTGAAGGGTCGGTGCCTCTTCCTTTTGTAAATTTAAATGACTTAATAGTATATGTTGCTTTTTAGCTGCGAGTACAGAGTTAAAGATGAAAGTCATTGCGAATCACCCAGCATAACCTCCACGATTTCCGCCTGCGGATTAGCTGGAATTCTTTTGAAGCTTGGAGGTATGTTTCGAGGACAAGATTTAGGTTGTATTGATATGTTTGCGATCAATTTTTGTAAAATAATTAATCTTTCAAAAGATTATTTTATGCGTTATGTTTCTCATCAGAAAAATACTTCAAATGATTTTCAGCGCGAGCATGAACAATGGCCTCTCGGGCATAAGCTTCCAGAGCTCGCCCGATGCAATCATCCCATCCCAACAAATTTATTAATTGTGGTTATAACTTGACTCGGATCTGTATTATTTAGGGGGAAAAACAAATGTGAAGCAATTTTTTTCCCCCTAAAGAACATCGTTGATGCATGAGGTAAACCAAAGTTAACATGATTTAAAAATTTGAAAAATATTTACGTAAGTTTTTTAAACCTATTATTATATCAAGATCTCTCATCATACATGGTTATGTGGCTTTTTTTTTTTTTTTTAACGAGTCATACTGCCATCGAATGTAACGGAAGGAGGATAAAAACCATACCTAAAAACCTAGTCTGAATGCCCACTAAACCTACTAGGAAATAACCTGATATTTTTGGATAAGATTTGACAAAACCCCTTGAGTATTTGTTATAAGGTTCTTCTAATAGAAGTATGCAAATGAAGAGTTTCTATAACGTAGTGAGTAGCGGCACATCATTAATTCTTCTGAAGAAAATGTTCCTTCACTTGTTCTACTTCTAATGAAAAATAAAGACCTTAAATAACAAATTCATAAAAACTGGACCTAAATTTTTCCCCATATCCTTTACCTATGAACTTCCATTAGTCATAGTTTTGCCTTTCAAGCCGTCTCCTTCATCGCCTCCATTATTGGACTGCTTGTCTACGAGCACAGAAGAGCCATGTTGAGTCTAGACGTACAAGTAGCCTCTCAAGCAGTTCTTGGCAATCGGTTGCAGTAACCATCACTGTCAGACTGGCCCTGCCCTTCCAGCATCCAATGGCTATGGTGGACTCATCCACCTGGAAGGACTCCGAATCAGCTATGTTTCCTGCAGCAACAAGAAAAAGGCCCCATAAAGAGACATCTCGATTCATTTACCTTCTCATCAACATGGTGATACAAACCTTTACCCAGAACCACCACGCAACATCCTAGCATAAGGTTTGCAGCCTTTTCACCAAACTCGGCATCAACAAAATCTGCAAATCTTACAGCTTTATTCTGCAGAAGACGCTTGAAGTCTACAGGAGATGCATGTATAATCTGCTTGGTGATATATGGGAGAATAACGGGCAGCCCTTCAGATGATATCCGGAAAGAACATGGTGCAGAGCTACCTTCCCGTGATGATTGTCTTTCCTATATAATGGGAAAGTGATTACTTTCACTTGGACTATTAAAAAAAACAAACAAACAAACAAAGTCTCAGAATGTCAAGGGCCATCAAAATAAAACTTTCTTTTTGCCGCGAATCAATATTAAATGAATCTTGCATATTATATTACATGCATGATCATCGAGTACCATAAATCAATAAAATTATATAGTGAATAATGCTGCGTGTCCAACAAAATTTAACAGATACTTCAGTAACGAAATTGTGTTGACGAAACATAAAACAAAAAGGATTTAGTGCTCAAACGCAAGAAACTTCTCAAAGCATGTTCTAAGGGGATGTTCAAAGAAAAAAAAAGCTTTTACATCTCTAATCTTCCATTCGACCAAGTGACAGGATCTTGATTATATAACATAGTTCAAAAGCTTCACATGCTACTTACCAATCAAAATCTGTTTTGAATAAACTTGTCTCCTATGCGTAGATTTACCTCCTGGGCCTATGGGCGTCTAACCCTGCCACTGCTGAAAGCCTTTTCTAAGGGCAAGGAAACCCCTACTGCATTGTTTTTATGTGTACTGAGAAGCCTGAATATATAGATCAATACTAATACTACTACACCACCACCACGACTACTAACAACAATATTAATAATAATAGCAGCAATAACAACAACACTATCACTTGTTGATGACTAAAGCATACTTACAAACATCTTCAGACCAATCGATGCAATTTTTAGCTGCTGCCCAACGGAGAAATTTAGTTCGAGAACATCCTTGACTGATTTGGAGACATAGTAAATCCTTTTCACATGGTTTGGATCACTGTTTCTCGAAATCAGGTGACCATTGAATGGAAACTGCTTATCAATACCGTAGAATGCCTTTATGCTGTTAATAATAACATCATCTTTGAAGAAGATAACAGGGTCCACGCCTCTCCACCTGCCCTGAATCTGCAGCTTTCTTTTTCCCTGAGCCACCCTTGCTATGCTTTCTGCATTTTCAGGCTCTCGGGCTTCTTCCCCTGAATTCCATTCTTCATGTGAAACAGAAGACCTAACTTCCAAGTCCATGATGTTGGATTCAATTTCACTTACATCAGCCACTGAAACCGCTTCCAAAACTTCCTTAGATGTATTTTCTAATAAATCAACCTGCAACACCTCCTTATCCTCAATATCCGGGTTTGCTGGTTTTACATGCTTCTTAGCGATTCCTCTTTTAGGTTTTTCCTGAATTGCTGCGAAAAAGAGAGGAATATAATTACACATCTCTTGTGACAAGCAGAATAAAACATAAGTCAGGATTCAGGTCTATGCCAGAATGCATGTAAACAAGGAAAACATTACTACTTAAGCAGATTAGCAATTAAACTTTGTTAGCTATAATTTTTTGACTATCTTTGACAGAATTTAAAAGAGAGACAGAGAAACAGCAGATCGTATGTGAAATTACCTGGCAGAGGAGAAACTTTTTGAAGTACAGCAATAAAGAAGGCTCCAGAGTTTTGGTCATGAGGCACAATCCTCACACAACGCTCTAGAGGGAAATTAGAAACTTCCTCAGTAAAATCATTTGTCGTAGAATTCTCCATTGTCTGAACACTATCTTCAGAATCTCCATTATCACCATCATTAATATCATTTTGCATGTCTACATTATGATTGCTATCAAAAAGATCCTGAAAGCTTCTGCCAGAAGGAAACATGCTGTGATGAATTACACTTCTGCGTGAGTTGGGAACATCTTTGTAAGACCCCAGCCACATACCCTTGTCAAGTACCTGCATCTCCGTATTCAAATACACTTAGAAGTGTTTACATGCATGCTACAGTATAACAAACATAATCACAGAATCTAGAAGCTTCTACTGCAAAATACATTTCAAGCTGAGTGAAAATAATAATTATGTTGACAGTTCAGACAATCTAAAACTACTTTGTCATGCATATCACCAATAATATGATTTGATTAACATTAGAAACCAAGATAATGTCCAAGCTCCTGCCATGAGATAACCATGAAACGCTATCAGAAACTAATTGAAAGGAACTTACGACCAAGAGGATAGGAAAAACCCTTAAGGGTTGTCACATTTAAGAAAAATAACTAATTTGATGCATAGGTACTCAATCAAGCAGGCAATTTATCTTCCTCGAGCCCAGAAAGATGATAAACATAATCATCTTTGCATGCACCAGCAATCATATGCATTAATTAATATTGCTTCTATTAATATTATTATTATAAATAATTGGCAACTCCAGCAAAGAGTTGGCCACGGAAAACACATGCCTTCCATCTCTTGAGACCTGGCCGGCGAATAAGTTGTGGAAGCTCATGAGACACATCAACAAGTTCAACAGACCCTCCACACCTCCGCAGAATCTGTAATATATTAGAAAAGTACAAAAATCCACTTAACATTATCAAAGATCACAGTACATAAAAGCGCCAAAAGCAAATAATATAAGAAGGCTTTTCAATGTGAGAAATAGATATAAAAATTTAGCATGAAAAATTCCAATGAGAATGTTATAAATCTAGGAATTAGACACTTGGTCCTCAGTACGACCAAAGTTGGTATGGAAAGGGCAAATGAGATCAATAGCAAAAACATATTAATGTGAAAAATGGATTACTTGATCTTGGGAATTGCAAAGCATTTATTGCAGAAAGTGCACAAACCATAACAGACCTCATAAATCTGCCACACCAAAATAGGTTCAAAGGAAAAGCAGGTTCAAAGCATGCAAAGTTACCTCCGCAACCACAGCTTCATTCTCTATAGGGTTCATTGAGCAGGTTGAATAAACCATTCTTCCACCAACTTTAAGCAGAGATGCACCTGGGATATTCAATATAGCTGATAAGTTTACCAAAATCATCATGGAATCCACTTGGAAACAATCAATTAAGTCTTTTCTGATGATTGGCCCATGACAGAGAAGTTGTTAGGAATGAATAATCTTCTAAATTTTAATGTTCCACTAATTAACAAAAGTATGGATAAAAATTAAGCTCTCATATCAGTTTTTCTTCAATCTTCAGCTTGAAGGCACGTTTTGAGAGAACACGACAAGCCTAACGATGGTCGACCCTAAAAACTATGCAGAAAAGCTGTCAAAAATACCTCGCATAGCTATTAGAACTTGTAGGCTATGAAGCCCATGGCCCATTCCTGTGCTCCTGCATGAATTCAAAACAGATGTCCAAATTAAAAGCAATGTGAAAAGGGATATGGTTGGGATAAAGGAGAAGAAAATAAAAAGTTCCTTTTCCTCTTTTTTTCCCAGTGGATACACTACCATTTCCTCCAAAGATCAGGTGCCTTGCGAAGGGTACCATCTCCACTACATGGGACATCACACAAAACACGATCAAATAAAAGTTGGCTAATATGCTGATCTGAACTTATGGTTTCATGATTTCTGTTTAAACGGCATCCTGGGAAGTGCTGAGCTTCATGATTGGTGACAATTAGGTTGGCTGTACACATTCGTTTTGTTTGGTGGATGAGAAGGTTACACCTTTGGACATCAAGATCATTCGCCATTACCTAAGTAAGAAAAAAGATGCATAAAAAATTTTGCACATACAGCCACTATAATTGGAAAAAGCACATATTGTATGTATTAAAGCAACTAAGACAGACCAAAAAATCAAGATATTTCCATTCACTGATATATTGTAAAAATTTAAAATCTGAATGAAGAGAGGGTGCAAAGAGACATAAAATATCATTGTGCGGTTCACAGGACACAAACCATTCCATCAGGCAGTGATCCCGCTTTACATGATTTGTATATAATCTCAAGCAGTTGAAATGTTTTTGAGCCTGGCGCAGCACACACTGAAGAAAAGCAAAGTAAAATAGTCACAACGCAGAAGCACTAAGTTTGCAGTCCAAATTAAGCAAATAGTGTTTTTGCATATGATGGTACTTAGGGCTCATCCATGATCCTAAAATAGCCTGAGCTACTTGGTTAGGATTAACCGCAAGTTTATACACCCTCATCTTTTTCATCACCTTCAAATGTAGGACTTCTAATATTCCCCTTGCTTACTTTCTTCTTCTTCGTTAGTTTTTCTTTCTTCCTTCCGTATTTCTCTTGATTTTCTTTCTTTCTTTCTTTTCAATAGGGTTCTCAAATCTTGTACGTTTAGGTTTGGATTCTTTTGTCATAAATTTGCCATCAAAATTTGATAGCATATTGAATTTTGTATATAGTTGTACTTGGGGCTCATCAAATTAACCAAAGCAGATAAAGCTATTTGGTTAGGATTTGCTACAAGCTTATATATCCCTTATCTTTTTTATTATTTTTAGATGTATATTTTAACAAATTGGACCAGACATCGTAACAAAAATTACTTCATGCGCCATATTCTGCTTTAGACTTACTGTCGAGTACAAAATGACTTGGATGTACATCCAAAAACAGGGGGGGTACCTGCATTATAATTAACCATTTAAGTGAAAGAGAATCAATCATTCAAAGGAACGTGCATAAAGAAACTGCAATGTAACAAACAATTCAGCTTTCAGAAATAAAATGAGAGCATAATCATATAATCTTAATGAGTGACTGACAGTATATAAACAGGCCCACCATGCTGACAGCTTCTTGTCTTGTAATATTTCCAATTTCATTTTCTAGCTTTAAGAATTCATGGAACCTGGGAGATTAATGAAACCAGAAGTAGGAATTGACATGTTAATAATAATAATAATATCAGCAGCAGCAGCAGCAGTAATAATCCAGTTATGCTTCGTGACGTTATCTGTCCATGCAAAGTGCATGGGCCGCTCCCTAGAAACATGGAGTTGCACATACACCAGCAGCAGCCATGGATGTATTAATGTGTAACCTGAGAAACACATGCAAATTAGAATTTATTTACCTCTCAAGTGTTTGGTTCTTCCTCAACTGCATCCGGGAAAAATTTGTATGCCACGCAAGATTTTCAGGGTACCACAACAATGGTCTAATAGCCTCTGTCTCGCCGCCTTCAACAACCTTTAGGAAATAATTAACAGCCAAAACACCGATTCTACGCATAGAGAACGACAATAGAAGCACGATTACAAAAGACACCGTAGTTGACTTACCTCGGCTTGAAGAGATTGCAAGAAATCATTCTCCAGCTGTGACCGAATGTCCGCAGAAAATTGGCTACTGCAATAACCAAACAAAAGGCAAGATGAAACCGAAACTGTGCATCAATAGAAACTTGAAGAATCAATCTCAATCTGAATTCAAATAAAGTTTGAAGTCGAAATATCCAATATATTATTGTATACCGCCAGAAAATGATAAGCTATACTCCATTAATTTAAAGTAGAAAGTGACCGTTAATGACAAAAGCCCTTCGATAGAGTAAGGCAATCGGAAAATAGCCAAATACCTCGAGTTGATTCGGAAGGTTGCAGGCAATGGAGTTCTGAGAACTTCCACGAAAGTGTCCCACTCTTCAGAGGCCACTATCCTTTGCTCCTGCAGATCAAACCGAAAGCTCTAGTGTGAGCAGCATCCAGTTTCGTTCAGGTGATGAAACATCCACCACAGGAAATACCAGGGCAACAGGAAGCTAGAGAAAAGACTAAGACGGGCAATAAACACAAATAGTCGACTAAAAGAGTAACATACCTTGTAATACTCATCAAAAGCAGAATTCTGAGTGGCAAATGGCGTCCAAGTAGCATTATCGTGTCCATTCTGGGAAGAAGGAGGAGGTTTTGGATGCTTCCAGACGTTCTCTCTGCTCTGCTGGAAGTGCTTTCTTTGAGTGCGAGCCCTGCCTCCTCTCCCGCCCCCGCCCATGCTCTGCTTTTGGAACTGCGTGGCAGAGGAAGTTAGATCTCGGCATGGCCGGTTATCTAACTCGGAGGAGGCGGACTCGCGATATTGGTCCTGCACTCGATTCGGGTTGAGCCTGAGTTTCGCAAATGTAATTTTCATTGGGCCGGGGCCCAAATATGGACGAGGGATTTTATCTACCTCGAGCCCGAACCACTCTCTGTGTCTACGCTGCATAGGCCCATACTGTTACCCTGGGCGCCTGCCTGCCGAGTCCTGAAAACTACTTCAAAACAAATGAATCCGATCAAGGAGCGGTTACAAAAATGATCAAAACGGACGAAAGCTACTTATTCCTCCGGTCCTTATATAAGACTCATTTAACTAATTTGATTAGATTAAGGAAGTTAGGTAAGTTAGTTGATTATAAGAAAGTGACACATTTTTCCTAAAATACCACAATCATCTTTCTTAATACTTCCTTCTTCTACTTGATAGTTGAGGGAGTATCCATGGGGTAATTTAGAGAAAATTAATAAATATGAGAAATGGATCCTATATTTAGGACCAAACCAACTTAAGAATTGGGTCCTATATTAAGGACCGGAGGAGTATTATTTAAATCGGTTTGCAGATTATCCTTTTTGTGGGGAAAAAAATTGATCTAGTTTTTCTTCTTTCTTTTTTCTGGATGCATGCTGAATTATAATTCGGTGGAAGAGAAGGGAGGTTAATGAACATGTTCCATTTCTGCCTGGTGAGGCATGTGTCGATATTCCAAGACAGAACTACCAGTCATATTAATATATTAGTTCCTGTACTAAATATAAAAATTAGGTAAAAATGTAATTTGATTAGATCTTAATATATTTCATTTTTTATATTTATTTATTTATTTCAAAATAGCTTTACAGTAATTGCACGTGATAGAATTTTCGTTCTAACAGACATGATGAATAATAATATTTTTTTAAAATTATTTATTTATTATAAATAATTAATTTAACTAATTTTTTAAATATTAATAAATTATCTATAATTTTACTGTTGTTTCGGTCACACCGTTGCTGCGAGTCTTGTTCTTTTTCGAACTTCCCCACTCGTATCTGTATCGAAAGTTCGATTGATGCAGAGTTAACTCCGAAGTCCTAATCTTTTCTAAAAGTTCAAGTTTCTTCTTTAGCTGTTTTGGGCATTGAATTCAGTGTTCGATTTTTATTCGGTTAGGCAAAATGCATATATAATCAAATTGCTGAACACAGTTGAACCCATACCATTTAAACCCATACCATACCGGAACTAGTGAAAATTATTTGAACATCATGTCTGAAACTAACTTGCGCAATTTGATTGATGCAGACTAGGAAGTTTCTGTTAAAATTTTTAAATACAGAAAAAACTGAAGTTAGGTCGATATCCATCATTACTTCCCTTATTTATATTATTAAACATAGTTGTGATTTGTTTTAAAGGTATTACCCAAAAAATGAAGATATAGAAGGACAAACAATTTACCAGGACTAATAGGAGACGTGAGAAGAACAGTAAGTAGCGCTCCCAACGAGTTGCTGACCTTTGAATAAGAAAGGTAATAAGATAAGCATCACACTTTCCAAGTTATAATTAAAAGATTACTACTACCTCCTGTACTTAATATAAGACCATGTCTGACTTTTATTTTGGTCTTAAATATAAGACCTCAATCCATTTTGTTTCTCATATTTACTCAATTTTTTCTAAAATAGTCCTTCTAATGATTATAGTTATAGTCAATACATTTGATTAGGAAGGATATTTTAAAAAAGACAACACTTATTTAGGACAAATAACTAATTCAACTTACTACCTCTGATCCTAATTATAAGAGCCAATTGACTAATTTGAGGAGATTAAGGAAGTAAATTGAGTTAGTTATTTGTCCTAAATAGGTGTTGTCTTTCCTAAAATATCCTTACTAATCAAATGTATTGACTAGAACTCTTATTATTAAAGGACTACTTTGAAAAAAAAATTATAAATATAGAGACAAAGTGGATTGGGGTCTTATATTTAGATCAAAATAAAAGTCAAACAGTGTCTTATATTAAGGACCGGAGGTAGTATTTCCTTAATCTTCTCAAATTAGTCAACTGATTCTTATAATTAGGACCCAAGGTTGTAATATTTTAGGCTTCCTCGTGGAGCATGATGCCATAGTCCTTATCAAAATCCTAGTTGCTCGGTTTAATGCATTGCTGATATAATGACACTGATAGGTCACTTGTCTTGTGGTCACATTTCCAGTGCGAATTTTATCAACAAAAGACATCTAAAAAGAGTTCCAGCAATAAAGAATCTAGAATGTTATTTTTTCCCTTTCAGCGATAAAAGAGGGAGAGAACGCGTAGAATACCTATTTGCATAGTAAACCCAAAGATCTTGTTATTCCCACTTTTACAAGAGAAGAAAGAGGACAATGCAAGCAAGTTCCAATAACATGAAAACCAGAATTGCGAAGCCATTGAAGAAAGGCTTTGGAGAGAATGAAAGAACAGGTTATCTGAAGCTGCTTTTTGAGAGTGCCAAGCAGGAAGCAGCACTCATAAAGCACAGACAAAATCGCCGCTTGCCTCTAAATCATCAATGTCAGCATCAGTATCCATGTCATCGAGATCCATGCTTCCAACCCCAACGAACTGACCGCCAACTTTTTGGCCTTGATCCCCTGCTTTTCGAGCTTCTTGAATTATACTCAATATTTCTTCAATGCTCTGCCTCCCGCATGAATCGTTCGCTGAGTCTTCTTGCATCCCACTTTGTCCACCCTCGTCCATAAATTCTAGCGGCAAGTTCTTCAGGAACCACGGGTGCATTTTGATTTCTGGAATCGTAATTCTCTGCAAATAAACAGGGTAACAGATAAACTAATTATTCAATGAAACATAAGTATTATATACGAACCAAGTATACCTTCTCTGGGTCGGCCACAAATATTCTAGATAGAAGGTGTTTACACTCTTTTGAGATGCGAACATAGTCTGGTACAGAATAGTGGACGCTGAGAATCCGCTGTCAGAATATAAAAGAAGCGGGTGAATAGTTCTGTTGCCTGGGGCAGGGAAGCAATTTAACTGGGATATCATTATATTTAGACTCAAAGTAACCTGAAGTGTTTTTCTGAAGTTTTTAGGATCTTCATGATCTTCAAAAGGATAAGCACCAACCAGCATGACATATAAGGTCACACCACAAGACCAAACGTCTGCAACCTGATTATTCTCCAGAGAAGTGCTTCAGTACAGACCTAATTATATTTGATTAGAAGAAAGAATCTGGGCTGGGAAAAGTATTAAATTACCTTTCCATCATATTCCTTTCGTGACAAAACCTCCGGTGCAATATAAGCAGGGGTTCCTACAGTAGATTTTGGCTGAGAGTGCAGAACAGATGACTGAAGAAAAGAGGCGGATCACTTCGTAACAAGGTCTAATTTGATTCTGAAACGTGTTCAATTAATTTACGTGAGAAGTTCTTGCCTTTGAGTAGCCAAAGTCGCAAACTTTGAGTCGGGGTGCTGTGCTGCCATCTAAGAGTGTGTTTTCCAGCTTAAGATCTCTGTGGCAAATTTCCTGCGTGAGAAGGGATATCCGATTCAGCTAAAATAGGAAGGCTCAAATTGATACATTCGATAGAAACTGGTTTTAGATTCAGACTGGACAATAATAGTTTGTACCATTGAATGGCAATAGCTGACTCCAGAAATCAACTGCTGAAAGAAATACCTTGCCTATGCAAGCAAATGAATAATTTAGATTAGATCTTTTTTTGGGTCCCCACATATCCAGAATATATGAAATACGATGTTATGCGCACTGAATCACTGGTTGTTAATAATAGTTTTTTTTTTTTCATCATTACTATGAAACTCTATGAAACGGAGGCAAATATCAGCAGTGTTAAATGCAATAAAAATGAAAAATCACCGAAAAAAAAAAATGAAAATCCCATGAGTAAAATATGTGCAATTATGGGGCCTCGCCTCTGTTGGAAGCCAACATATCAACAACTTGCCCTTCAAAATGCAAGAAGGAGATAGTTTATTTGCCGAAGCAGGGAGGATATACTGTGGATGCGATCTTTAATTATATCTTGGAATTTAGTAATGTAATGGCCTCTTCGACAAAGCACTATCATAAAGTGATTGAAGCTTTCAAACGATATACCTCGTCTTCACTGAATCTACCCGCATTGCATATTCTTTCAAAGAGTTCTCCTCCAGCGGCATATTCCATCACTATGGCAAGATGGGACGGAGTGAGCAACACCTGTTATGGGTGGCCATTTCAACTTAACCAAATCAAATTTTACTTGTTAGCATAAAAGGAAAGAGTTACTAAATAATTATTCCCCTCAGAATAAAAAGAAAAAGGCACCAATAATCATTTCATAAGCAGAGGATTTAAGAAACCATCTTCAATTCGTTTTCAATGATTCTGATCATTGCTTTCTGGGGTAAAAACTGAACGACATAGCTCTGCTCACGATGACTAATGCCAAAACGAATGACAGTGGAGAGCGGAGACTCAGACGTCTATATGGATTTGGCACTTTATAGCATGGAAAGTTTAGGAAGGAAAGTATTCTATTTTCAGAAGAGGGAAGGAAAGGAAAAGGGAGTTCCTATAGGTAGGTTTGGATCTTGGAGGAAGGAATACTACTTCAGAAAACCTGTTAGCTCTGCTAAGACAACAGGCATTAGGATAGTCGCTCTCGTGCCAGCGATCCAGGGTTATCTAATGAGACCGTACGTGGGTCTTAATTACCTCTTTGAATCGAATGATATTGGGATGCATCAAGGACCTATGGTTTGTGATCTCCCTTTGGACATGCTCATCAATCTGCTTAGATCAGGAGAAACAGAGTAAGGTTTACAAAGGACTGTTAAAAAGTATAAACAGTCTGAAATGCATTGAAATAGCAAGGACGAAAACTTAAGCGGAGAACTATGGAGTTTAAAAGTAGAACCTTTATGCCTCGCTCAATAAACTTGATAGCATATAAGTCACCGCTCCTTTTATCCCTCACCAGCTTTGCCACCCCAAAGTTGCCCGACCCAATATCTTTGATTATATCATACCGTTCCATTGTTGTATTGTCAAAGCTTCAGACTTCAAAGCTAAAGCAGGATATCTCTGTGCTTCTATTACTAATGCTTCTACTACTTGCTCTGTTCAGGAATTTTGATCATTTGGAAGGCCTCCAAAATGCGAAAGTAAGCTTGCTTGGGTTCTGGGTTTGGACAGCTCTGGCATTCACAATTGGACTGCCAATATGCCTTCGTATATAGGACTCTGGGATTGGAAGCATGGAATATAACAAAAAATGATGGCGATCGAAATCACACGTGGCCCCAAATTACTGGCTAGAAGTTGTTGCAAGCCAAAGAACAAGTTGATCATATTAGGTGGGGATTGATTGGACCAATCCTTCGATCTCTCAGGAATTAAAAAATCGATCGAGCTATTAAGACCACTACCCGCTCTTGCATTCTACGAGCAACCAGCGTGTTCATTGTGCAGTTAAGAATTCCAATTAGCCAAGCGCAGAGAGTAGTCCAAAAATGAATTAAAAATTAAAAATTTTATATGTTAAAGAAAACGAAATACAAGTACGGAAAGCATAACCCGTACTAAATGGACAACAAGCAGCTTATATTTATAACCAAAATTTCTTCTGCACGTAACTTGTACATTTAGGACTAGAATAGTAAGTATTATATTTGATCACTTTGAATTAACTTTTTAATGAACGCGTAATTCGATGAGTATAAGCAAGGAGAAGAGGGGTTGACCACAAATCTGATGGCAGGGGGGAAGGGCGGATGAGGTGCGGTAGGAGTCTAGGAGAGAGACAGACACCGGGGGGTATGACGTAGAGGCAGAGAGGGGAAAGAACGTCGCCGAACTCGAAACAGAGAAGGGCGGTGGGGTTAGGATCTCAGTGCCACGTGGGAGTGAAAGAGAAGGGGAGGCACAAATCAATGCGATCATGTCACCGATTAATTAATTGCATTATTATCATTATTATTATTACTACTGCTATCATTAACACCCCCCATTCCCCTTCCATTGACTGTAATTTAATATGCAGAGCAAGTGGGTGCTTTTCTCGGGGAAACACCCAACTCTGCTTATGTCTTTTCGGTTTCAGTCATTTCCCTCTCCCGTCGTCCCTCCAATTCGGTCCATCCTTTGGCTGTGTGCCTGGCCGGGCCCGCGTCACCCCTCATTTCTCTGTTAGAATTTAAAACCTCCGAATAGATTCTGCCCCACAAAAATATGATAACGATATATATATATATAATAAGAAAATACCATGTAGGCAACGGTTCTATATTGCTCGGATTATGACTTTCACTTTCATGCAAGTATGTTTCGATTCCGATGTATACAAGACGCCCTTGGTACCGTAGATTTCTTTGGGCAGTGCCTTGGTGCGGACAAACTTTTTGAAAGAGAATTAATACTTTTATGATTTAATATAAAACTAGTTTACTAATTTAAATATATTAAAAAAATTGTTAAATTAGTTACTTGTAATAAACATATGTTGTTTTTTCTAGAATACTCTTGTTAATTATGTGTATTAGTTAAAACTACTACATGATGAAATCTCTAACATATACTACAACTATTACAATAACTATTTTTAAAAAAAATTAGATAAATATGAGAGACAAAGTAAATTTGGGTCTTATATTTTGGACCAAATTGAAAGTCAAACCATCTCTTATACTACCTCTGGTCCTTATTGTATAAAAGCTCATTTGATTTTTATTTTAGTCATAATTATGAGATTCTGATCTATTTTGTCTTTTATATTTATTCTTTTTTTTTTCAAAGTAGTCATTGTAATATTGATAGTTCTAGCTAATAAATTTGATTAGTAAAAATATTTTAGAAAAGACAGTACCTATTTATTACAAATGACTAATTTAACTAGTTTCATTAATCTACTTATATTAGTCAACTAGCTTTTATATTAAGGATCATAAGTAATATTCAGGACAAATGTACTACATATAGATCAAGAGGTATAGTGCATGAATGACGAAGTCCATTTTATTTAAAATAAAACAAAACAACTAGGAAGCTTTTGATTAAGATGGTAAGCAGTTTCCCCACATAAAGAAAAGAACACAATTTCAAATTCTAAAAAACACACTTGTTATGAGGACTTTAATCTTATCACTTTCAATATAATAAAAACTAGTCTTAAGTACAAAATGACCCGGGAAGACTCTTGAGTTTACACCCAAAAAAAATAGTAAAGCAACAAAAACTTCTATTATATCTGTATTTATACATGATGATATTCTTTGACACTATATCAATGTCAATTTATTTTTCCATTTAAAAAGTATGTAATGACAATTGATGCACTCCAAGTTTTTATATTTTCATCATGTTTAACTAAAAACAATCAGTACATTAGATAAAGGTGTATTGTAAATTAAATATCATATTGTGTCTCAATACTTATCCAAACGGCTCATGTGAGTTTTTATACTGGACGTCCCTTCACCCGTCAACCAGATCATGATTTAATTATTTATTTATTTGCCAAAGTATTTGGTTTTTTATTGAAAATATCGAGTTCTTGAACAGCAGGTTGCCCAAGTTTTCCTTATCTCCCATCTCCCATCCATATTTTATACCCTCGTTCGGGGAAATGCTTTTCTTCAAACATCCTCTCAAAAAAATTCCTGGATGTTGGATTGCCCTCTGACTTTGAAAGAAGAAAGAGAGGACTGAGGAGATCTTTGTTTTTGTTTTTTTTTCTAGAAAAATTATACACAGGTCTCACAGAAAATAATTAATTTTGAAAAAGTCCCTTGAAATCCCCAAATACTTCCTAAGTCCCCAGGGACTTCAGAGCAAAAAATTAAAATTGTGAAATTACCTACTTGCTCTCGCTAATGGAAAATGTTATGACTGGCTGCTGTGTAGGTTGTGATTGGCTGCTGTGTAGGCTGTGATTGTAGCTGTGCATGTTGTCATTCGGTGAGGGTAAGTAGGTAATTTTATAATTTTAATTTTTTGCTTTGAGGTTCCTAGGGAATTAGGAAGCATTTAGGGATTTTCAGGAACTTTTTCAAAATTAATTGTATTCTATAGGGCCTGTTTGTAATTTTTTTTTTTCCTTCCGAGAAAATACTTCCCTTCAAAATGACAAAATAAAAGTCTTCACAGACAGACCATAATGAAAATAGGAACAAGTCAACAACCAGCAAAAATGAACTAAAGGCCGGAAAGGTCAATTCACGCTCTCGTTACAGCGAAAGGAACACCATGCCTGTTAAGAGCCACAAGAAGTGACAAGACGAATGCCTTTTATGCGTGCGCTAGTGGGGAAGTACATGTTAGTAAGGCAGTTAAATCACTTACCCTTTTCATTAAACTAGATAAAGAAAAATAACCAGCAAATTTAATTAGATCAAAATGAAATAAAACCCCGCAACAATCACAAACTCGTACTTCCAGCTTGGGATGATTTGAATTCAGGGCCGATCCCCGGTGATGGATCATGTCTCAGAATATTACATCCAGTCCTAAATATAAAAACTAATTTAATTTTTATTTTACTCCTAAATATAAAATCTTAATTCATTTTATCTCTCATATTTATTTATTTATTTTAAAAATAGTCTTATAATAGTTAAACATATTAAAATTTTTATTAAATATTAAAACTAATACACTTAATTATCAAAAGTATTTGAAACAAGATAACACCTATTCATTATAAATAGCTAACTTAACAAATTTTTTAATTTATTCAAATTAGTCCATTAATTTTTATATTAAGAACCACTTAAAAGTATCATGGCTGTGTCCACCACGTATCATCTACCGTCATATCAAGATACATTCTCAAGTAAATATCATCGTGGCGTTTCAGTCTTGTCTTAAAATAATTATTACTTCACATCATTTTACTCTTCATCCAATCTACTTACGTACTATCTCCGATCTTTAATATAAGATCCTGTTTGATTTTTAGTTTGGTCCTAATTATAAGACCCCAATCCATTTTGTCTCTCATATTTATATATTTTTTTCCAAGATAGTCCTTCTAATAATGATAGTTTTAGCCAATACACTTAATTAGCAAGGATATTTTAGAAATGACAATACTTATTTATTACAAATAACTAACTTAACTTACTTCCTTAATCTCCTCAAATTAGTCAACTAGGTCTTATAATTAGGGCCGGAGGTAGTATTAACTTCTTTTCAACTTTGTATGCATATTACATTTGACAGGGTAAAAAAAACAGATATTTAAAACGGCAGTGGCATCACATAGGACCCTCGTTTCACATTTTAGAACAGTGTCTTAACTGTAAGGCCATCATCTACAGTTCATAGCCTGGGAACCTGGAGTTGTGGGGAGCAAGCAGATCAAACCAAAAGCAAGCGGCGCCAGCCAGTCCTTGGAACAGAGAGTACGCATTGCTTCCCCCTCCGGTTTGGCCCTCTGGTCTGTAAGATTTTGCCTGATCGTACAAGTAACTACCAAACACTTTTGCCCTCTCTTCGTATATAGACTCTCCAGTTAGTTTAAAGAGGGAAAGGAAGGCGTATGCATTTCCAGACACACCATCAGCAAGTCCCAACTTCTTCAACAGTCCGCGCTTCCACACAACTTCCCCTGCTTCTATTGCCGCATCCCGGAATTCTCTGTCATTTGGGAACACCTGAAGGTAGAGAACCACATTAAAGTCTTTCATTTTAATTCTCCAACCCAAATATTCTTTTGTAGAAATCAGATTTCGATTGATGAGGCATGTGCATTTGAGGTGCCAATCAATTTTTTTTCCTTCCAGTTTTTAACTTCCCTATGAAAAAGTACTCCATGTTCTGGCTCATCAGTTGGAAAACTGGACACCCACATTCCCACATCCCACATACGCCCAACCATAAGTCTAAATTCTAGCATGGATCTGTGCTACCTGGTTCTCCAAGGAGCAGATGAAAAACTCCCCAAAGTGAATGTTATGGATAGTGAGACTAACAAACCTATGTGGATGAATTTCTAATGATTTTGCACAGCCAGCTACACCTAGTGATATGCATGCAAGGATTTCTCAATTACAGAACTAAACACATTTATTTAATAAATTATTATTTTCTCCACATTAGGAAGATTTAAGCTCCAAAAACAATTAAACACCCCTCTTCCAACCCCTGCAAGGAAGAAAAACTCCAAAGAACGATTAGTATTGGGCAGTTTACCTGTGCTGCCTTGGACAAGGCGATGGCCATGCCAGTAGCACCATGAGACCACTGCATCAATTTATCCCTTGGATTGCCTTCACTTGAGGGGTAATTTCCACTGTGAGGGAAGCGCTTACTCATGAGGTATCTCAAAGTTCCCTTGACATCCTCAGCATCCTCTTCAGGAAGAGGGAAATGAAGCAGAACCTGCAAGATACCGGCAAGGCCATTGGCCGCACCAAGGTACCTGGTCCCATGCCATCTATACATCAATGGGCAGTCAGAGTTATTAGATGCCCCGGCCCTACCGCCAGCCAACAACGCAGCTATTATAGGCATCAGAATATCATTGGGCACCGCGTCTTCTCCAAGATGCTTCTTTATGAATAAAGCAGCCCATATGAACCCTGCTCGCCCGTACAGAAGATCATATGACATTCCAAAACCGCCTTCCTCAGGTCCAACGGGTAGAGCCCTCTCTGTTGCTACCTACGAACAAATTATCAGTGATTATGCAGATACTTAGAGCATCATCCCAAAAGAACAAGTGCCTATTTGATGACTAAAATAAGGCACAGCAATTCTGATCCTCTATTGTGTCTGGGAGGAGTATTATAGCTAATAAAATAGACAAATTCTGTTATCTGTAAATTGATCATCCTAAGTCCCCCCCCTTCTTGTCACAGACTTCACTTCAACTTTGTCGGAGGAGTATTATTGGACACGTCTTTTATTATCACTTTTCTTTTGGGTCACATGGAGTTCGGTTTGTTTCTTGTGATTCCTCTCCAGTCCCCTCCAGATTGTGATAAACAATGTGTCGGATTTCACATTTATAAGCTCAAAAATCAAAGGCTATTTTCATTTTTCACAACGTACTAGTTCCTTGTTTAGATCAGGAGAGGACTGCATATGCAATAACACAGATGAGGAGAGAACCAGTCGTGGTCCCATGAAATGAAAACATATGGCAAAAACAATCGAAAAGGCGATTCCATAGCAAGGACAGGGATTGGAAAAAATTTTCATTAGGTTGCCTAACCTATAAGATTCCTATAGACTAAAAGGCTTCCTTCAACGTAACGCTAAGGTCAAGTAGCAGGGCCACAGCTGGCTGAAAGAACAAAGACAAGGAATCGGGGAAGAAGGACCACAAGCGAAAACACATGAAGCCAGTGTAGATATTTAGGTAGAGCAAAGCATCCAACGGTGTTTTCCAATACTCGCCATGATGACATGACCTTGTCTTACCTCATTGAATAAGCCCAAAAACAGGTCCCGCTTCCGATTGTTTTCCATGTAATTAGCTACCAAAGCACCAAGAGCGTAAATGCCTCCTCTGCCACACAAAAATGTCACGTGCCTGCAATACGCGTCGCGTAATATCCTTCCCAATTAGAAGTGAAAACAAACCTAGCATTTCACAGGCATCCATAGAGACACAACTATCACTACCATCAGTACATATAACTAAACATTACGCGGATTTCCGTAATGTCTAGATGAAAAATTAATTATCTTTCAGTTCAATTTAGGCCATATAGTACTGCGCAACAATAATAATGGTTTATTGGTGACAAAAGAAAAAAAAAAGAAATATTTGTTTATTAAAGAAAGGTGTTATGGGAGGAAATTTTCGTGTGTAATCTGACGGATTAATACTTTTAAATTATTGCCAAAAAAAAATTATTTGATGATTGGGTAATTCTGCTTTTGGGTCAATAGGATCAAAGATTTTAGGAGACGGATTTCTTAAAATATACTCTAGCATTTTAAAAGCTTTAAACCGCTAAGGAATGGGGTAAATGGGAAATAATCAGTAATAATCAGAGTATACATAGTTCTATATTAAATTGAACTGATTAATCATATAAACACGTGGTATAATTATAATCTACCTGACTTTATTACTTACATTTAGTAACCGAGGGAAGTACCTGAGGGAGGCACGTGCAGCGGTAGCACACGCGTCCACGATCTCCGAGCACAGCAGCAAGTCTCGCTCGTCACCAGTGACCTCGTACGACCTCAGGCAAGTAAAAGCCGTGCCAAGCAGACCCGTGTACACCGTCGGGTCAATCACCAGTTCCGTAGGATCGCCTCCGCCGAGGGCTTCTCTCCATGTAAGTTGCACCACCTGAGGAGAACAATTCAGTCAGAGTCGCACAAGCACAAGATTTCACATATAGTAATCAAATTGCTCGTATCAGTTACCTGATCCTTGAGGGAAATTGCTGCTCCGAGAAAACTCTCGTTTGGAAGTGACAGGCTTGTAGTCGTCAGATTCATGTGTTCAGTGGCGAATTCTAACGATTCGCGTTTGCCATCATCTTGTCCATCCTGGGACTGGAACTCCAAAATCGACGATGCCATTGTCGGATCTGAGATTCTATTGTGGGTGTGGTAATTGGGAAGTAAAGAAAACGAAGCACCGAAGAGCTATATATTCTCTCTGGGTTCAGGCCATGAGGGGCAATAGGCCTTTTAAGCTAGCATATCGGTTCGGATTTAGGAATATGTCGAGCCGTGGTTCTATGGAATGGCGGTGCATGGGGTGACGCCACGCCTGTGTGCCACGTAACCAATTTTTTATAGGATAAAACTTAACCGTTGGATGCATTCGCGGCACATGCTGCTTTTGCTGGATGAGATTTTGTGGTGGCCAAAAACCGGGACAAGAGGGGAATGTAACTTAACATAATCAAATGATGCCATCGTAATTCGTAGGACCAGCCACCACGTGAAATTCGTGAGTAATCTGAGATTTGCTTTTTAATCTGTCGTTGTCGACTTGTCGTGGACTCGTGATATCCTCTCTCCTCCTGCCTTGTTGTGTACTACGGAGTAAGGAGTTAAAAGTAGTTTAAATGGGCCAAATTTCATCGGATTTGCTTAAGCATTAGTATTGTTAATTGGAGGCATGGATCATATGGAGAGTCTGAACGCCGTCAGCACAAAAGTAAATAAATAAATAATCACGGATGCTGCACGATGAACAAGTTTAATTATTTTTTTTATTCTTTAAGCACGCACGTGTGCTCCTATATGTTTTGTTATCCACACACTATCAATCAAGTTTCACGAAATCAAGACGTTATTCAAGATTCAGCTCTTGGTGAAAGTAAGATGCTGGAAAATGCCGGGGAAAAAGGACGTTTGGGTATCAATGATAGTTAAATTGATAGAAAATGAAGAATCAACGCATTAATTAATTATAATAGACTTAACCAAATGCACTACGAAACGGGAATGTTCATCCAAAAACAATGGTGATGTTGCTTGCATGTTTTACCGAGTTGCTGCGATTCATTCGAATATAGTAGTAAATTACAGTACTTTTTTTTTTTTTGCCAGATCAACCCAACTCGTCTATTCATTCAAGCGCTTATCGTTGTTATTCAAATGTCATTTTTATGGGCATTTGGGTAGTGTTTAAACTTCAAAGTTGTGCTCGTTTTAATTTAATATCTCTTAGACATATTGGCAGACCAAAAAAAATTCAGTACAATGAGACACAAGCAGGAGGAGCAGGAGCGTGCCAAATTCAAGTTTCTGAGCATACAAGTATTGACAGAAATGTGAACAAATTGAGGATTGATTATGGATGGGGGGGTGTAAGATTTAAGCGCTCGTCATTGGCAATGGAAGGCTCCTTTTTGTGTGTGTGAGTACTTTTTCTCCTAATAAGATCTCCAAATCTTCGTAGCAAAGCTCTCCTTTTTCTGGAGTTATTTTCCGGATCATCAAGCTGTGACTCATCTATATCATCTGGAATTACTATATCTCCATCTATTTCATCGAATATTGAACCTTTAAGATCATCATCAACAGTTTCTTTCGCGGGCTCCTCGTTCCCTTCCTTGTGTGGTTGTTTATGGGGTGCGATTATTTCCTTCAGATTGAAACTTATCGTTTTGCTCAAACTCTTAACTTCTTTGTGCTCCTTGTCGCCTTCTTTATGCGCCTTCCCTTTACTCGTTTCCTTTGCTGAAGATTTCTCCTTCTCCTCGTTATTTTTCAACTCCCTTATGGGTGCCTCGGCAAGCAACCTCTTCAACTCTCTGATGTTCTCAAACGCTGCAGCTTCGTGAATCTTAAGCATCTCATTCTCATGGGTAAGCATCTTCACTGCTTCGTCTCTTGCTCCCAACGTATCTTTCAGTTGAGAATTCTCAGCCTGAGCAATCCCAGCAGCTTCCTTTGCAGCATTGGCTTCATTCAACGCTTGTTTAAGGATGTCCCGTAGCTTCTGATTTTCTTCCTTTGAAACCCGAATCTTGTTCTCTGATTCTTTAAGCATCTCTTCCAGTCTCCTGCATTCTTCTACTGCGCTTGTTCTTTCCTCTTCAGCTCTTTTAATACAATTCACAAACTCCTTTGTTTTCTCGTTCCATGCCAAAAGAGATTCTTCAGCTTCCAGTCTCAATCTCTCCGCCGTGTTATTGTTTCTTTCAGCTTCTTTTCTGGCTTCTCCTAGAAGCTGTTTGTAGTTCTCCTCTGTTCTATTTAACAGCGCTTTCAAATGCTCTGCTTCCTCTTTGGTATGTTGTAGCTCCACTTGGTTGTCTACTAATTTTTCTTTGGTCTGGCGAGACTCTGCGGCCACTTCTTTCAGCGCAAATGCCAAATCATCCATGGCCTTCTTGCTATTCTCTTCTGCCTTCATGGCTAACTTGAGTTCATTTTTGAGGTAGTTTAATTCTTCAAGCAGATTTTTGGCCACACTGTCCCTCTTTTCTCCCTCAGTTGCTGACTCCAATTCTTTTCTGAGGACACTCATTTGCTGAAGCAGAGTTTTAGTCTCCATGGGATCGAGTTTGTTACATCCTTCAGCTTCTTTCAACAATCTTTCGCTTTCAGCTCCAACTCCCTTACCCGCTTCGGTTTCTTTTACGGAGAGTGAAGGTTGGGATTCATTGTTGCACGATGCAGATTCCTGAAACTTCACTACTTTCTCTTTAAGGGAAGCAATCTCTAACTTCGCTTCCTCAAAAAGAATCTTATTTAGATCAAGCTGCTTTGTTTGCATCACCAACGCCTCGTAAAGACTCGCTTCCGATGCTCTGCTTTTGTCCAGTTCGTCCTCCAATTCATGAATCCGCCTCTTGCACTCGGAAAGTAAGTACATTGCGTCTTGCTCAAACGCCCTAGCATCATCCACCTCCTTCTTCATTTGGTCCAATGAAGCCTGTTTCTCCGCCAACCGGAGTTCAAATTCTTTATTGGCTTCCTGTTTTAATGACTCTGCTGTTTTATTCTCCTTCATATTCTCTTGTTCCTCCATATTGGATATGGCATCCTTCGCTAAGGAATTTGACTCTGTTTGATCTGAAGGCTTGTTGGTGGGTAATGCTTTATCAACTCTTGGGTTTGCCTCTTCATCCATTTTTCTCGCCTCTTCTGATATTTCATCATTCGGCGAAGAATTCGACTCTACTTGTGAGCCTGGAAAATTTTTGGTGGGTGATGCTTTATCATGCGTTGAATTAGCCTCTTCGTCCATTTTTCTCGCTTCATTCAACGTAGAGCCCTTCAGTGAAGAATTTAACCCTGTCCTTGGCTCTGACAGGGCTTTCGCAGTTGATGCCGCATCAAACCTTGAATCAGCATTGTAACATACTATTTTTTTTCTTTATCTTAATATAGGATTTAAGTTATATGGTTATGAGATTAGTTAATATTATTAGAATTAAATTTTATTGAATAACTTGAAAATTATAATTTCAGTAATATATAAATTATATATATAAGGGAAAAAATATATATATATACATATTATATTTTATTTTATTATTATATATAATATATTATATTATAAAAGTGGGTGGCACGTGGCCACCCACTGTTCGGTTGAAGAATAGGGAGGGTTGATCCCGTGCCCTTTCCCTTAATCCTAAAAAAAATATATATATATATATATATATATAAAATAAAAAGGCAAGTGGGTGGCACGTGGGCCACCCACTGCCGGGAAAGGGGGGCTAGGATCCGTTGGGCAGTGGCCTCTTTTAATTTAAAAAAAATAATAATAATAATAATAAAATATTCATTTCAAGTGGGGTACACGTACCCCCACTTTCAGATGCTTCTCTCCCTCCCCTCTCCGCTTCGCTGTTTTCCTCTGGTCCGCGTCCTCGCAGCGCCGCGACAGTGAGAGGGTGTGAGAGGTGGTTTGAGTGTGTGAGAAAGGAAGGGTTCTACTTGGGTACATATAAGATATCTATGTAAGTCATCTTCATCTTAAAATTTTTATTTATTCAGCCTATTCTTTTATTTTCTAAGTTATGGCAGAATGAATATTTTTAGGGCTTGTTAGGTTTTTCTAATTTTTAAGGTTTCTAACTCATTTTGATGATATTAATAGAGCTTATGTGGTTAGAATAAGAGTCTTATGACTTAGATTTTAGTTGGATGGTTGATTTGAGGCAATGTGAGCTAGAGATTGGTTGGGAAATTGTGATTTGTATTAATGATGATATTAATTTCGAAATTTATCCCTTAGTTGAGTTCACTTGAGGTTATATTGAGGATCCAATGCTTAAACTTTGGGGATTGTTGTTGAAATAGTAATGTTGATGATTCTTGGAGAGACTTTAATTAGTGGAAGTTGGGTGTTTGGAGGAAATTGAGAAAATATTCTAAGTTATTGATTCTAATGAGTGGGAAATGATTAATGGAAGAAGGGAATAGGATTTTAATAATGATTGAAGGCATAGTTGATATATGGTTATTTTTCTAAGAGTTAAAGTAAGCACTTTTTGGAGATTTTTAGATGATTTGAAGGAAATATTCTTATTAATGATGTGAATGAGAGAAATAGAGTTGGGAAGTATTAGGAATTGTCACTTGGAAGAATAGATGAATTATTATTTTTCCTAAAGATAAATTTTTAGATAAGCCAATTATGGGGATTTAGTTAATAAACTATTTTAATGCTATATTAATTAGTCTTTTTATATTAATATATGTTTATCAATTTATTATTGTAGAGTGAGCTTGATTTGGGCTCTTGGGTCTTGAATCCTCCTACTTTTAGTTCTTGTGTCAAGAACTTGAGGTAACCACTTTCTAATTTACCTTGTATGCTTGTTGATGTGATTATAAGCATGTGTTGATATTATAAATGTTCTCAATATGTGTTATGGTGGTTTCTGTATGAAAAGTAATTTATATATCTATACCAAGATTTAAGTTTTGATAAATTTATTAGTTAAGTGGGCATGAATTATTTCATCTTATGAATATCTTGTTGATGTTGAATAAATTTGATTATTGAATATGAGAATACTTTATGGATATGAAATTGTGTGGAATTGGATGGTTGGATTGGGCTGTGTTGGTTGTGCTGAAATGTAGTTGTGGGAGGTCTGATTATTCTTACCACGTGGTATAGCCGCCACTTGGCGCCCAGTGGTTGGCATTAACATTCTTAGGGCCCTCGGTATCACCCTTCCTTTGGCCGGGTCAAGGGTCAGCCCAAGGGACATGACACCTTTCCATATTCCAAGGAAAGGGAACCCATGGTCCGGTATGAGCTCTGTAACTTTTGGCCGAGTTACACCTCATTATTGGAGAGCTTGGTGCAGTCTTGTAAAGAGACGAATCCTGTTATGTGTGAATAGCCCATGGGTTCTGTCAGAGGTTACAAGGAGGTTATAAGGATGGTTGATGAAGTTCTATGCATGCAAGTTACTTTCTGAATTATTATATATTGTTTTTTGTAAAGATGTTTAACTTATATATTATTTGAAGTTGTACTTTGCCCGCTTTGCCCGCTTAACTATCTTGTAATCACTCCCTGGATACTTGTTGAATTGGAATTGTGGTTACTGGGTCAATTTGACTCACCCTGTGGTTATTTAACATTTTTTTCAGGCGAGGGTTCAGGTGTAGGTCCCAAGGGGAAGGTGTCCGAGGCTTGAGTTTTCCTTTACACTCTGTATAGCCTCTATTTTGTTATACATGATTTGACTGATGTATATTGCCAAACTTTAGGGCCTTTTTATTTTAGTTAATATTATCATAACCTTTCCGCTGCATTCTAGACTTGTATTATTGGGCGGAGCCCTTCTTGAACATATGTGATTGTTATTTTGATTGCACTTGTTAATGGGCAGCAGTGGTAGTTGTTTTGGTGGACTTCAAATGCCCTAGCCCATTTACAATTGGTCTTAATTGTATTTGAGATTCCAGAGTATTGCTGATGGATTTGATATATACATGAAAAATCAAATGTTGATCCTTTCTTATTTGATTAACTATCTTTACTATTCTAGAACAGTAGCTACTACCTCGTTAAAGATTTGGTTTGGTATTGACTATGGTAGATTTCTATTTGATTATGTTTATCCTTCCTACCATAATTAGCCTTTTAAAGTAATTATCCTTTTGAAAATGTTTATTTACCATGAATTACGGGGGTTGTTTCAAACTTGGTATCAGAGCCTAATGGTGTGCCAGCGGGGACACTGACCCTCCTAGGGGGGTGGATTGTGATATCCCACATCGAGGGACTTGGGTCCTGGGCATGTGCTATATAAGTGGGGGCGTGTGCTCCCATTCCAGACGACGTGTTTTGGGGGTGTCCCTGAAAGCAAAACCCAGCGCTATACCCTAGGGACCCGGAAGGGGTGACGGGAGAGGCGTCCAAGCTGGGACAATATCGTCCGACATGCTGCCAGATCGCCGACCGAGGCAGGCAGTACGGTATGGTATCAGCCTAAGGGTATTGTCCCAGCGGGGACGCTGGGCCTCCTAGGGGGGTGGATTGTGATATCCCACATCGGGGACTTGGGTCCTGGGCATTGCTTTAAGCAAAACCCCGCAAAACCCTAGGGACCCGGAATGGTGGGCCCAACCCCACTTATATAGCACATGCCCAGGACCCAAGTCCCCGATGTGGGATATCACAAGCATCCTCGTCCATTTTTCTAACCTCGTCAAGATCATAAAAGGCACATTCTTTCTCGCCCTCCACGTCAGAAAATTGCTCCTTCTTCTGATCCAGCTTCTCCTCATGTTTCCCAACATGATTCTGATGCATCCTTGAAATCTTGCCAATTTATGCCACAGAATAAATTCTTCGTCGGAATCACCTAAATTGTTTCGAAATAAGCCTAGTCAGCTTTCAAAGCGAAAAATAATTCCAGGATTCGTTGCAGAAAGCTGAGGGACTGACGCAAAATGCAAACTCAGAATTGTTAAAGAGGGGTAGATAAAGAGAGAGGCAAAGATGTGCTCCAAATGAATGCGTGGAAGAACAATTTTCCAGGTGCAAGGTCAAGTGGATGAAACAACGGGGATCAAAGGAAAAATATAAGCAAGCCCGGGACCAAATATCATAAGCAAATAAAAAAGCGAGTTGAAGGAACAGGAAAACTATGTACCCTGATTTTGCAGCTAGAAAGTTCAATCTATGACGAATCTTCGTTCATAAATTTTCTACTCTTTTTTGTCTTGATTTTTGAGATGATGGGGCACGGGAAATTCGTAAGCTAATAGGAGCAAGGAGATAGAGGTCATGTGTTTTAGAGATGGGCGAAGATGGCGGGTTTCCAGCAAGGAACCAACGGCCTGAAAGATTAGTAATATTCTGACATAGAAATTTGATCATAGAATAGAACAGATTCATGAGAAGCAAATTGGAATTATTAAAATCTTAAACATAATATATGTAGTTGTTACGTGGCAGTTGGAATAAACCATTGGCCCTTCATCGGCCGTACTATTATATATGTCGTATGCAGACAAAAATCACCGGACCGGAACGTATCGGTATTTTTATCTTCTCAAATGGCAGGCGGCTCTCAGCCGGCTTACATAGTCCATGTCGTCGAAGATTGTTCTGACTTCTGACATGTAAATAAAAAATATGTAATTTGTGGGATCACAATAGTCAAGATAAGAAAATTCAATTCCTTCCAGCTTTGGCTTAAAATAAAATTCAGGGTTTCGTTTAGCTTTGGGACGTTCATCATTGGACTTTTATTATCATTGTCCAATTCAATGCCCTCATTCCTCTATTTTCCTATTCTCAACAGAGACGGATCCAACGGCCCCCGGGGGTTGGGGGGTGGGAGGCTTGGCGGTGAAGAATGGAAATTTATTGAGATACTTACTCCATTCAAGAGCTGAATGGAGTAGGGTGCTTATGATAGCTAATTTTGATCATTAGATTATTTTGTCTGATTTCCTTGTTACAAAGAACAATATATAGGGCAGCATCGATGGCACCATATACACAAATATATATATATATGGCAAAATTACGCTCATGTCAAAAGAACATTACGCTCTCATGTCAAAGCAGATCCTTTTCATTCAGCTTTTGAATGGAGATCAGGTTCCAGCCAAAATTATCATTATCATTCCTTTGCTAGCACGGATTTATAATTAGAAGGGCTCTCTTTTTTTTCTTTTTCCTTTAAAAATTGAGCATACAACGAATAGCTAGGTAAGCACTATTAACTCCAGTCTTAATTATAAAATATCATTTGTAGATACCAATGATACAAACGAAGTATTACAATTAAGATTGGAGGTAATACTATTTGATAGTGATAATCACCCTCCAAAGTATGCAAGTATTCATCCAATAAATTCCGTTACAAACCAAACCTTGCACAACACTGAGGTCCCATTTAATATTAAGTATTGAAAATGAGGGGTAAAGATTAAGACTGAGATTGAAAAAAACCATTAAAAAGTATTTAGTATTAGTAATTTCTCGTTATATGGGATTAAACAATCATATGTAAGTAGGGTTTGGGAATATCACCTCATTCTATGGTTGGCATTTTCCAATTCTATATATATAGAGTTTGTTTAATCCTAAATAATAAGCAATCATTCATGCTAAATACTCATTTAACATATTTTTTCAATTGCAATCTCAATTCTGACCTTTTTATTTTCAATGTTTCATACGAAACTGAACCTAGAAGTTTAATTAAAGACCTCCCCAGTGTGGCTCCATTTGATATTCTCTTCCAGCTTAAAGGCTTCCTCCGCTCAAGCGCATGTAATACCTCTTCCATTTGTGTAATTGGCTGATCTGCGGTCACTTCTTTCTCCGCTCTCTTTCTAAACACCAGAAGATATATAAAATATTACACGTTTCAAATTTTTTTTAAAAAAAAAATAAGTCATCATCGCCCCCAACCCCAAAACATTATCATCCAAATCGAAAATTTCATCATCCTTGTTCCTCCGCTTGCAGTTAAATACTAGCAATATTTAATGATATCAGTGATAATGGCAACACTTAAACCGGAGCCTCTTCATCCAAAGGCAGGGCCCAATGAAGAGGATCAATTTCACTCTCATACGCCCCATTGTTTTTCAACCTGTACTCACAAGTCATTCAGTGTCTGTATCAGAAGAATGCTTGATATAACCAAAAGAGTATACTTTTTTTAGATGCGCACCTGAGAAGCTGACCAGTCATCACAATTTCGATCCACCCTGCCTCAGGAGTTAGTTGCTGGATTGCTACCTGCAATCTCGTGGCTGAATGATGCCGGAGGCAAAGCAATAATTGCCCACTGTATACCATATATGCGATGTATCCATACCGGCTTCAAAGGGAGTGAGAGAGAAACAGGAACTCCGTAGGGAAGAGCGAAATGCTTTTAATTAAGTTTGATAAGATTGAACAACTGCAAGGAGAGTGAGATCCTTAAATTCCATGGCGCAATCATCGCATTTTTTAATGCACTGAATTTAGCAATATAGCACGATCCATTAACCCGCTGCAACTATTTGCCTAATCATGCCCCCACTTTTAATTTTAGGCTAGAGCGACCTTCTCGTTTTGGATATTGAATTTTTTTGCTACCATGTCTTTTTTTATAGGAAGTAACCCCACAGTCAAACACTGAATATAAACACTTCTCTCAAAAAATAAAAGACTAATCATTTCTGTTAGATGTAACTTAATTAATTGGGCATTCAACTTTATTTCATGGCACTCAACATGCAATGAAGAATCCAAGAAAGAAAATACTTTAGGCCATAAGTTAGGCCCATTTTGAAATGCAGCTAATCAATTTTTAATCTTTAGTGGCCTTCTTGCTAAGTTGATCGGGTATATTTTGGATTTTTTTTGCTTTCTTGCGTGATTGTCTCTAACGCGTCATACTTTTCTTTCTCCCCGGTGAAAGCGTCAATTTATTGTGCGAAGAAGCATAAAGATATTTTAATGACCAATCCAATGTTTTCAAAACTAAACAAAATGACGCTGGCCAAAAAAAAAAAGATGATTACTTGTTTGGCAACACACAAATTTTAGAAGAGGAGGGAAAATTTTTCCCCTCCTCAAGCTCCCTTCCAAAATTAGGAGGATTTGAAGGGAACGGGTAATATTTTGTCGTGTTGTGATCATTATATCCATATTTTGTCGTGTTAGACCATTATGTCCATATCTTAAATAAAATAAGAGTAAAATTATCCATATTAAAATATTTTCCCCTCCCCTTCCCTCTTTTTTTATAAATCCAAATAAGATAATATTAAAATCCTTCTACTCTCCTCCTCTCCATTAAAATCCCTCCCATCTCCTTCTTTTCATTGAGCCTAACATACCCTTAACCAGCAGCTGCTGTATTGAGGTGCCTAAACTATAAATATGAAACTTGAGAGTTAAAGCCGAATCAATAAAATATATTAATGACTTAATGAATAGTCTATATTTTAGATCGGAAGATTAAAGATAATTTTTAGAAGGTTATTGTAAATGCACTTCTATAACTCACGCGTTAAGGAACGCACGTGTTAAGGTTATTTTGTAGAAATCACACATTAATATTTTGCTAAACTTTATTCATGTTCCAACATCAAGGACTAAAGAAATTTTTTTACAATTAAAATAAAAATAATTCGCCATGTACTTTTGTTTGATGACCCATAAAATATTAAATATGCCCATACGCTTATTATATGTTAATTAAATTAAATACAATCTAGTTTTGCGTTTTTGTGTTGCTTGTGGGCCGCCATGACTCGTTTGTTGCTTTCCCTCCATCTGAGCTCTTGATCTGGTTCGCGGGGTTCGGGATTTCGATCCATGAAGGTGGTTTCTGTTTTCGGTTAGTCTGCGGTCTCCAGTCACGCAAGGGGGGAAAGAGCCTCAAATATTCACGACTGTTGCTTGTGGAATTGTGCTGGTAACAAAAACACAGTAATTTATCTTTTACGGAGCGCGAAAGGATATAAGGAGAAGGAATCATTTAACGAGGAAGGAATAATTCGGAGGCGTAAGCGGGGCCCCAGCTGCGTATACGGATCCAATGGGGATTTCTTTTCTTGCCGGAGACGATTGAGGGGCCGATTGTCTTAACCAGCGGTAGCCGCGCACCATTCACCATTCACCGTTCACACGTATCAACTGATTGACAAGGACGTGTGGCGCGCAGGCGGAGCCCAGAGGGGCGGCTGCGTTACTTTGCCTGAGATCATTGCGATCTATCCCCCTGATCGGCTTCGCTGGGCTCCCTCTTTAGATTCTGTCTCTTGCTGAGTGCTGATTTCTGGGAGCGACGGGGACGGATTGAAAGATGTGGGTGTTTTATATGATCTCGCTGCCTCTGACATTGGGCATGGTGCTATTCACGCTGAGGTACTTCGCTGGTCCAGACGTCCCTCGTTACGTGCTGTTCACTGTTGGATATACCTGGTTCTGCTCGCTTTCCATCATCATCCTCGTCCCCGCCGACATTTGGGCGGTATGGTTTCATTTCTGCATTCTCATTTGCCCTCCGTTTATTTTCATCATGCTATTTGTGTCTTGAAACAATATGGCTGATTTGATCGTCTGTTTAATTCCAGTCACTTTCAATTAACTCTTATTTGCGGATTTCATTGTTTTTTTTTTGGAGTTTTGTTTCTCATTTTCTTCTCGAATTTGCTTATTTGGACTGAGGGGTGTTGATATATATCATCAAGTTCAGTGTTTTTAATATAATTTTATGTTTTTAAGTAAATCATTTGCTTCTTATAGCCGAACGAGTTAAGCTGCTGAACGAAATTGGCCATGACCATGGTACAATTGTTGTGGTAGGATGTCAGATGGGATATTGATGTTATGCGTATTGAAAAAATTATCATGCAGACTTGATTGAATGGAAAACATTATCATGAAGAGTTTGATAATTAATTGAATAATTATGTGCTTTGATTTCAGTGATATAATTATGCTTCTTTGCCTTTGGCACGTACAGACGTTATCTTCTCATCATGAGAATGGAGGCATTTCCTTCTTCTGGAGCTGGTCATATTGGAGTACATTTTTACTTACTTGGTATGTTTTATCAAATGTTATTATCAAATTTCTCCACTACTTTTACTTTCTCGTATGGACTTCTATGAGTTGTCTTGCTGAAGATGGCCAAGTTCCTCTCATGTATCTTTCGAGCAATGGAATTAAGCTGAAGTAACTATTTAATGTGAATGTCTTTAATCTTCATTTACTAGTATCTTAGTAAAGTGAGATTATTCTCGTTTGGTTGCCACTATCTTATGGTTCCTCTAATATTTCTGTAACACAATGGATGGCTGCTTGTCATATTTTTCTACTCGGAAAGAGGTTGAACTCTGTGAGAAGTAGTTCTAAATAACTCATCATAATAAAGTTATGTATAGTGGCGAAATTCTTGTAATTCTGTATGCGTGCTAATTTGCTAATTAACTTGGACGGCTGCTTCTTGGCCTTTCACATCTTCGCCTGCATGCTTAGATGATCCTTGCATGAAAATCCCTTTAAATGGTATTTTCAGATCATAAATGCAAATTTCCTCATATATTTAAATTGTCATCCTAAGCAGGGCTGTGGTGCCCCTTATTCAGGGTTTTGAAGATGCTGGCGACTTCACTGTTTCTGAAAGATTGAAGTCTAGTGTACATGTTAACTTGGTGTTCTACGCAATTGTGGGATCCATTGGCCTTTTTGGACTTGTCCTTCTAATAATGATGCATAAGACTTGGTTTGTCCTCGATCTCCTAATTTCATTGATTTTGACTTAAGTTAGAGTTTTCCTAATATGATCTTTTAAGGTTTTGCTTCAAGTAGTTTTCTTATTATTTTTATGTTCTTACTTTCTTTTGAAGAGCGCCATGGTTTCCTTGACGATGTTGGTATCTGATATATGATAAAGATAGGAAAGAGAAGGAAGAGAGAGAGGAAGGAAGAGGACTAGAGAGAGAATGGGGGATGAGAGAAAGGGAAGCTTATTCCATTAGTCCATACCACACTGATTGCAATGACCCTTACACCAAATATAGCTGTTGGCTTACCAGCTTATGTAACTGTCTAATAACCCCTTTACAAAGTAGTCAACTAACTTTCCATAAGATGACGATCAATATAAAAATTAATTAACATTTAAAAGGTGCGATAGAAAGGAGTAATGGAGGAAAATTTTTCTAAAAGTATCTTGTGGAGCTTAAGAGAGAAGAGTCGATGGAGGAGAGGACTGTTTAGCAGGAAAGAGACACTCTGGGTACCTTACATGACTGCTTTAGAAATTGAGCCAAAGATGATTCTTGCGACTTTTTGGAAGTACAATATGTCTGCATATCTGAATTATATGTCCTTTGTAGCAATTAGATCCCAAAATTTTGACACATTTCACCTATGATCAATATGAACTTTCATGGAAACACAAGTTTGACGCTTTAGAAAGATGATGGGTTCACAGTGAAGTAGATTGATCATAGAGTGAAGTGACAAAGATATATGTTATAAAGCTTTGAGCATGTCACAGTACAAATAAGTCATCAGTTTCAATTTGTGGAATGGAAAAGTTTGTATAGCTAACCATGGATGCATAATTACCTTTGCTCCGCCTAATTATTTGTCTATTTCTAGACATAATGCCTATTTCATTCGTGCTTGTTAGTGTGTGCAATTTCAACTGAAGCCCCTCTCTCTCTGTTTTTTTTTTCTTTTTGTAATGATAATTTCATTTTACTGGACGCTTTGATGAACAGGAATGGAAGTCTTTTAGGATTTGCCATGGCTTGCTCGAATACTTTTGGACTTGTTACTGGTGCATTCCTCCTTGGATTTGGTTTAAGTGAAATTCCTAAAAGCATTTGGAGAAATGCCGACTGGACTAAGCGCCAGAAATATCTTTCTCACAAAATTGCCAAGTTGGCGGTCAAACTTGATGATGCTCACCAAGAACTTTCAAATGCTATTGTTGTAAGTTCATAAGTTGTTCTTTTAAGTAGTCTGTAAAGTGCAAAACTTGTATTTTCGTCTTTCTGTTTTCCCAGCATATACAATCCAAATTGCGACTATCATACTTGCATGTAAAGCAGAATTGAAATTTTGTTTCTGGAATTTTTGTCTTATGAAACGTATGATAGCATCCCCCCTCATAAGTTGTCTTCCTCAAATCTCACTGGTTCACGTTAACATAGTATAAATATAGTTATGTTGATGTCTGATGTCTTCCTCCGTTCCTTCTCCTGGTTCATCTCTTACCAAAGCTATCAATAAATTGTATCTGATTAGGCTTGACAAACCCCTGAGAGTCGATTCAATTTCTGGCTGAGTAACTGCATGAATTGATTCAACTTTTAGATGCCTTTCATTGTAAGGAAAATGCTACTCCGCAGCAGAGTTTTAGCAGTTTTGACATTTTTGTTCTGTTTAAAGCTACCTTCTGTGATCTAATTCGTCTCATGGTTCCCAACAAATAGGCAATCTTGGCTTTGATTTATTTTCTTCCGCATGGAGGATCCTGTGTTGTGCATGTTGTCTTTTATTTCTGTGTGCTGGGAGAGGATGCTAAATATGATGCATCGACAAAGTTTAATTAGATCTTAACAAAACTATAAAATCTTCAAGTTACTATGCCTTAATGTGGCAAAAATTTTCCCGAGTCTAATGATGGTATTTTTTTCTACAGGTTGCTCAAGCAACATCTAACCAGATGTCTAAGCGTGACCCTTTGAGACCATACATGAATGCCATTGACAATATGTTAAATAAACTGGTAATGAGCTTACATTGTTCATTTCACATTTTGGTTATAGAACCTGGGTTGCCTTCTGTGTGACATCTTACATAGGTATAACCTTCAATTGGACAGTTTAGGGATGATCCATCCTTCAAACCACAAGGTGGACGATTAGGGGAAAATGATATGGATTATGATACTGATGAGAAGTCAATGGCAACACTAAGGCGTCATCTTCGGGGAGCCCGTGAGGAATACTACAGATACAAAAGGTAAGCAAATGATGATCTTGTAGATGGCTTTTCTGTTTGAAATACTGTTCTTGATTCTTTTACAGCTGTTGTAAACAGTAACTACAATGTTTTCATTCTTCTCAGTTGGATTTAGTCCTAATAGAGGGATATTTATTTCCCTTTTTTCTTTTGTGGCTTGTTCCTGATGTTAGTAATGAACAACTTGCTCTTTCTCTGTATGGAACTTTAGCAACATATACTTAATTGGTTCTTTTACTTTTAATGATGATTTTTTTAAAATTTGGACTAAATCACTATTAATATTCTTCTTTTTTGCTCTAGTTAACAAAAAGATTTACTTGTTAGGGAAAATTTCAACCTTCCATCATTTTCTTAATTGGAACAACTTGTTCCTGATGTTAGTAATGAACAACTTGCTCTTTCTCTGTATGGAACTTTTGCAACATATACTTAATTGGTTCTTTTACTTTTAATGATGATTTTTTAAAAATTTGGACTAAATCACTATTAATATTCTTATTTTTTGCTCTAGTTAACAAAAAGATTTACTTCTTGGGGAAAATTTCAACTTTTAATCATAGTTCCTATAAGCATGGTCTTGTAAAATTTGCCCTTCTAATGTTCTTGCCTCTTACTGAATGAGCATTGAAGATATCAAGTTACAAAAAGAAACTATTTTGAACACTCTGATATGTTAGTGCTCGTATAATCCATTAGTTCCCTGAATGTAAGAAAAATTCAGAATCAAGTTCTTTTCATTGGTATTGTCCCATAATGTAAGAGTCTGATGACTAGGTTTATACGGCAGCATGGTTATTTAGCTGTGAGTTTTTGTCAAACAAAAGCACATAATATTTGGTCTCTTGTTCTTTTTGCAGCGAGTATATGGCTTGTGTGCTGGAAGCCCTTAAACTAGAAGATACAATTAAGAACCATGAACGTCGCGGTTCTACAGGATGGTATGTTTAAAGTTAACCTCTTCTCCATTTTCACACTCTCCTACTATGTATTTTGGTTTGTTCCAACTACCTAAATCAATATTATATGTTGTCTTTTCAGGAAATACGTTTCAAGCATTAGACCTGCTCGAACTGGCAAATGGGGTGCTCTTCTGGATACTTTGGGTAACCATCATTATTGTTAACTCATTTTTTATTGCATATGGAATAGTATTTGTTGTTTCTGATTTGTAATGCTGGTTTTATTTCTTAGCTGTGCATCTACTGTTTTACCCATTCTGTATGTTAAGATATTATCACAAAATCATCCTCGCCATCTTATTTTCCCAGTCACGCCCTATGTAAATAATGTTTGTATCAATTTTATACAGTTTTTTGTTTCCTTTTGCATAACATAAATGTATCGCCAATGAATTGACCTCTGCTGGCGTTGGGTTATGTCAGCACCAGATTTTAACTTGGTTTATTTTCTGCCTTCAATATTGCATTATTTTATCATGCAGGCTATCTCCATGCTTTCTTTCCTTTTATTTTACGACATGCTCAAAAGCATATGGCTTGCGGTTCTTTAAATATTATGAGTTTATGATTCTTTGCAGAATTTTTCTGGCGGTGCATTCTGAGGAAGCAAGTTGAGAAAGGCTTGGCTGTTATTCTTGGCATCATTTCTGTTGCAATTCTTTTAGCAGAGGCAACTCTGCTACCAAGTGTTGACCTATCACTTTTCTCAATTCTTATTAAATCTGTCGGGATGCAGGAGGTTCTTGTGCAGGTAGAATATGTTTCGAAGGGATGAATTGTTTATTACATGATAACATTGAAATGCTGCATTTATTTTTGCAATCTTCAATTTGTCTGGACGAAGGCTTCCCTGATTTCGCCTTTCGAATCTTGAAAAGAATTGGAGAATTTGAGGAAGCTTTTAATCCTTCTCAAAGGCTTTTACCATTACTCCATCCCATCTTTAATATAAGTCACTTTTGACAACCTCACACATTAAGAAAAGGAGTTAAAAGTTGGTTACATCATTAAATTTATTAAATGTGGTTTGCCTTGTCTCTCTAGCAGACTATACTTTCGTCCAAGGTTTAAGGGTGTAATCATTGTCTTTAAAATTCTAAATTGCTAAGGTATTGAGAATGTTTAATTAATTGCTCTTGGAATCCTGCATTGTTCATCTTGACTCGGATGAAATACACTGATTTAATATAAACGTATTTAGCACAAAGGAAGACAAATTTCTCATTGAGTCTCGTCTCGACATTGTGATGATCTGTTCTTCTAGAATCAACAGGCAAAGCCACAACATACTTATGACTCCCATTCCTCCATTATGAAGTGAACTGTTCACATTATGATTGGGTGATAGTATTGCTGCCCCACTCCCCCCAGTTGCCCATTTTTTCTGTCTGTACACATCTTTTGGAACATTGCATGTGATCTCATATCTTCAATTTCTTGTCCAGGCGTTTGCTTTTATTCCTCTCATGTACATGTGCATCTGCACATACTATTCCTTGTTCAAAATTGGAATGTTAATGTTTTACTCATTGACGCCAAGACAGACTAGCGCAGTTAACTTGCTTATGATATGCTCGTAAGTGTTCTTTTCTGCTTCTTGAATCACTAATGCTATCTTGTGAAAAAGCATTTACATCCTGCACTTGTTTGTTCACAGGATGGTAGCTCGATATGCTCCCCCTATTTCATACAACTTTCTTAATCTTATTCGTCTTGGTTCTCACGAAACTATATTTGAAAAGGTAATTATTCATTTGTCTAATGGAGATTCATGGATAGATGTGGCCATACATTAAGTTCCCGCAGTGAACCAATGGAAACATCTATTCAACCCAATATTGGCAAGGACTCCATTGCTGTTTTCCTTGATATGTTTGATATGTTATTAAAAAATTTACCAAAATTATTTTTTTTTAATTTATATTTTGGGGTATTGTACTACTTTGATTGCAGCGAATGGGGAATATTGATAAAGCTGTCCCATTCTTTGGGAATAAGTTTAACAAGATATATCCGCTTATTATGGTTATCTACACCATTTTGGTTGCGAGCAACTTCTTTGACCGGGTTTTTGATTTTCTTGGGAGCTGGAAGAGATATATCTTCAAAACTGAAGCAGAAGATTTGGACGGTTTTGATCCATCAGGATTAATTATCTTACAAAAAGGTATAGGAGTCAGTACTTTCATTGTCGTTAATTATTAGAATTACCATAATAAATCTAGTTTCACTGCATCACGCTCAATGTAGTTGTCGTAACATTTGTGGGGATATTGACTCATTTTCAATGTGGGCGCATGTATATGTAATCTGATGATATAATTATGCTTGACTATAAATTCTATTACTTGTAGAACGGTCTTGGCTTGAACAAGGGCACAAAGTAGGCGAGCAAGTTGTTCCGTTAGCAAGGAATTTCAACAACATAGATATTGAATCCGGTGACAATTTAATGGTATGTGGATGCAACTCTGAAAGCAAAAAAGCAAAATCTCATACTTTCCTCCTTACATTTAACATTAATAACTAGAAAACCATTGTTTCAGTGAATGTGAGCTGCAAAATCTGGCATGGTCAACTACTGCACCCCCCCCCTTTTTTTAACCTGTGGTTTATACAGTCTACTCATGTTATAACTCGATCTTTCAGGAGAGGAATGGGTCTGAAATGAAGGCAAAGTCCAGTGTGACTGATGAGAAAATGAATGGAAGTCTGTCTAAAACGTTGAAGGAAGATACAAGGAGATCAAGTAGGGAGGCTATCGGCAACAAGTATGCAGCTATAAGAGAGTCGAGTGGACAAGCATCTAAAACGAAGCCAGAAGAGAAAAGCATAACCTCTGCTAAGGTTTCCTTACTTGATGGAGGCAATAATCAATCTAATAATACAGCTAGACTACCGCCATTGGCTTTGGCTTCAACATGGCAAACAATGAAAAATGGATTTCAAACTTTCAAGGCTAATATAGGGACCAAGAAGTTTATGCCCTTACGGCAAGCAGAGGAAAATAAAATGTCTCGTGTTTCCTCATCGGAATCCCTGGATGAGATATTTCACAGGCTAAAACGGCCTTCTTTGGACCAAGATTTATACCACGATGAGGAATATGAGATGGAGCCCAATATTTCTGGCTCTTCTGGACGATGATATTCATCCACTGGGCATGAATTTGGAAGTATCTTACATCATAGTATTGGCGATGCAAGTCCATAAAATCATGTACAGAAAATTCTTGGTAGTCGATTCCCCAGCAAAATACATGGACTTCTATACGGTACAAACCAATGAAATACAAATGGTAGACGTTGCACAGGGTAACATACCTAAATTTTAGTTGCAGGTGTTCTGCATGCCATGGATTCATGAATTGATTCAGCCGACGATGTGTTTGGCAGAAACCATTATGTCTTGCTCATGACATTACTTGTTTTGTAACATTTAAACCTGTTGTAGTTGTAGATATAACAATGAAATTTTTGAAGGGTTCATTCTTCAGAAGCAGACACAGCATGTTAATAATTTCTGAATTATTCAGTTTATCGTTCTCGGGTAGCGGCTCGATGTATTTATGAACGGTAATGTAGTTAAGCCAGAGTCTTGAATCCTGACAGCTCGTAGAGTTCTACAATCCGATTACTTAATTCGTAGTATGGTAGCTGTAAGCACTAAGCAGTATGCGCCAAGAAGGAAACTGCAATTGACTCTTGACTTGCGTTTTATTTTCAATGACAAATGGTTGTAAAAGCCTCCAGCGAAAGCTGGTAATTCTTGGCTATACATCATCCTTAGATCTTTTGCATCATTGAATGATCTCCATTTCTAACGTTTAGCCTCGAAAACTTCGTACACCTAATGTTCCTGCGCTAATACTGGCACTACAACATCTGTAAACCAGGGTTCGTTCATAACCTCAAGGCCGACAAATTATGATCACCGGTCCCGTCCCTCTCTGACGGCCGTCGTGGAGTGCTTCAAGACATTCTTGGTACCCTTTCTCGTCAGTTTAAGGAGTTTGGACCAAAACCCATCTTTCTTCCTTGCATAGCTCCCACTGACCTCGTTTGCTGAGGCATGGGCAATCGATCTACTCTTCTTGAGCCTGAAATCGAAACCCATCTCGGAACAAGACACCGAATTCATCACATCCGATGCATTTCGACGGTGGCGACGACTTCGATACAGTGCTAGAGACGCATAATTTGACCGGTTGGCTTCCGCAGGAGAATCGAAAGTTAGAGATGAGTTACAAGGAGGAAGTGGTTTATGGCTGGATTGAATTGGGTCGAGCCGCGACAGTTTTTCTCTTAAGCACGAAGAGCAAACACCAGGTTGTTGCTCGTCATCTGGGTGCTCCTTGCACTTTCCTGGCCGCATTTCCGACTCCTTCTTAGCCTTCGTAACTCGGATACGTTGAATTCTTTATACCTACGGATGGCACGAAACGAAATAAAGAGAGTACTATATAGGCGCACGAGGGTTCGTTTCCTCGAAGTTGCTTGTTTATTTTTCCTTTCCCCGTAAGGTACGACTCCGTCGAATCCAATCCTACTTCTTGATATTTTATTTTTTGAGATGATTTTCTGACGTAGTCTATGAAACTATCGCAAGCAACCGCGATTAGTCTCCTCAACTCAACGTCGCTTTCTTTATCAAAGCTTTCATTTCGTGATCACGATCGAGATGTGTTGGAAGAATTTTTTATTTATTTATTATTATTAGGAGAGGATTGCGTTTTAAATACTAAATAAGAAAAAAAAATATAAATATAAACGAAGAATTGAGGTTTTATACTTGAGATTAAAATAAAAGTCAAACAAATCTTATATTAAAAATATAGATAGTATTATGAATTCAAACAAATATTAGAATTGCTGTTGCAACACAAGTTTTCTTATTTAAAGCTGTAACTTTTGTTTGATAAGCGGTCCATGTCCCCCATAATTTTCTTTTTGAGCAAACCCGCCCGTCATAATTAAAATAAGGGCATTCATATTGTAAGTGGAACTTATGGAAAAGGGCTTGGTAATGTAAACAAACTTGGAATTTCAATAAATAAATTTGAGTTCAGCTTTACGAAAAATGAATAAATACATCTCACAACACAGAACACACCCACAGGTTTTATGCAATTATCATTGACCCCGAATGCCATAAAATCAAATGAGGAGCAATCAGCAGGGAACAAGGCAAAGGAGCGACGCACGTGAAAAGAATGTGGGAAATGGGGTCTGCCGGTCTGGTGGGTGGAACAACTTACACATACGGCCAGGTGGCAGCCGCCAAAATTTTCAATCATCCTCTATCAAATAAATCATTTCACGCGATGCAAGTCGTGATTGCGACAGGGGAACCCCGCCAGCCGCAGGAACTACGAATAACCGAATCCCCACTATATTATCAATTGCAGATTATCATTTTTTTTTAATTATTGAAGCAACTCTAAAAGTTGAAATTCTATATAGTTATGAAATATTAGACTTATATTAAGCATGTATGCTTATATTAACCACGTATCATTTGCGGATTATAAATAATATTCATCTGGTCCTTAATATAAGACCCATTTAACTAATTTGATTAAATTAAGGAAGTTAGGTAAGTTAGTTAATTATAAGAAATGTGACACGTTTTTCCTAAAATACCTAATCATCTTTCTTAATACCCCATCTTCTTCTTCTACTTGATTATGGTTGAGGAAATATCCACGGGAGTAATTTAGAGAAAATTAAAAAATATAATAAATGGGTCTTATATTTAGGACCAAAACCAACTCAACAATTGGGTCCTATATTAAGGACCGGAGGAGTATTATTTTTTTCACAACTCTTTGCTATGCTTAAGGATGTGCATGGGCTGGGCAGGATAAGACCCTTGCCTGATACTCAGCCCGAAAAATGAATATGCTGCAAAATGTAGCCCGCTACCCAACCCAGTAGAAGCCCTACTTATTTTGGATTAGGCTAATATGAGCTAGGCAGATCGGGTTTTCCTTACTCAAATTTATAACTGAGTCATTAAATTTAAATACTACCATATATTTTAACAAATATCCATACTTCAAGAATTAAACAACATCCATAATTATTAAAAACAAGATAATAAAAAAATTGTAATTAAAACCTTAAAGATCAAATGATTTGCATCAATCTCCATAAAATTGAGAAAATGACAAAGCATGTAAAAAGAATATAAGCTATGTTAACATATTCAATTATATTATTAACTTCTAGTTTAATATAATTTATAGAAATCTATATATTACATTTAAATTAGTATAATTAGTATCATTTCATGACATATGAAGTAATATTAACATGAAAAAGTTAGAAGATAATTATAATACACAGCAAGATAATTCAAAAAAGTTAAAATATGTGGTATATTTTTAAAAAACTAGAACTTTAAAAATGTAAAGTCTAATAATATAAGGAATAATGTTTGTTTTTGGGTATTGGAATATAATAAGATAAAATATATTAACATTACATTATAAAGAATATAAATAATTATATATTTCAAGCAAGGCTACATGTCATGCCCGCGACCCTACCCTGCTTGTGATTAGTCCGGTCTAAAAATACCCATTTTTCCTTTGAGCTGGTTTTTTTGGGCTTGACTGGGTTGGACATTTTTTTGGCCGGCTCGAGCAGGCACACCAGGCTATTGGGTATCATAAACATCCCTAGCTATGCTCACGAGTCTTGATACCCACCTTATTCCTGTTTATGCACATTAAAAAAAAAAGCTAACAAAATATAGTTTCATCTATACAAACATACTACCTCTACCTTTAAATATAAGGTCTAGTCTCGCACCATATCATTAAATCCAGCTATCTATGCCGTAAAAGCTGTAGGTGCCTTTCTCTCATTATTTTTGTTCAGCGAACACACACACACACACACCAGAAAATACCTCTACATCGTTGTATCGTTCGGGAGCTAACATGCCTAACACCCCATTCCTTTTTTAATTTTTAGTATCCCTTCGCTGATTACCCCGTGAGAAGGCCACTGTGACTGGGCTTGACGGCCTGTATGTGAATCCAGTAGCCCAAAGAAAGATAAGAGCACGAGACCGCCATTTCCAGCTGTCTAAACACTTTTTTTATTTAACGTCAAAAAATTTAGTTAAGTTGAATCTCAAAAACTCGTGTAAGGCAAGGACATGTCCAAAAAAAATTTATGAAAGTACTTACATATTATTTACTAATAAAATCTTCACATCAACAATAGAATCTGAATCACAACATCATGGGTTACGAATTAACTCCTTACTAATTGAATCAACTATTATCAGTGAAACATAAAGCTGGATGTGCAACACCCTCACAATGGAAAAGCAGTGATGTTTCTTGGCAAAGTTTCGATGTGAGATACGTTAAGAGTTGTCCCCCCCCCCCCCCCCCACTTTTCACAGCTCACATATGCATTATACCTTTTACAAAATATTCCCACTTACAGTCTCAGACTTGACAAAAACTCCAGAGATGTGGATTGTGAGCATTTACTGGGTGAGAGCAGATGACTTCTTGAGTGCAAATTAGTTTTGGTGGATCATTAATGGTGTGATGGAGAAGATGTGGCGGGTGAGCTTCCTGCTCCCACCGCCCTATAGAAACTACCAAAACACTCATTTATGATTGGGATGTTATGTGTCGTCAATTTATCACGTTAATGATGATATTTTCCCTCTGGCCACACTAATATTGTGGTAGCGGCTTTCCTTCGCTGTCACTTCCACCTGTGACCAACCTCAGATTCTTCAACATGCTTAGCCAATTAAATCCCTTAATTAAGATTAACAACTTAATCAAACCTGTTAACCATCTTCGAAACGTTTAGAGCTTGTTTCTGCCCCTTTTTGTGGAATATGTTGCATCGTCAGAAATCACAGCATTCAAAATTCCCGTTTGCTCCACCACCCTGCGTTATGACTTATGAGGCCTCTTCCAATATCATATTCGTACCGAATCACACTCTTCTTCGCAGCATCTCCTCTCATCACAGTTTTTTTTTTTTCTTCCCCTTTTTCTGTTGAACGAATGTCCCTTCGTTCTATATACTTCAGTTTTAAGACTTCAACCACAGCTTAATCTCAGATCTAATGCATTTCATAAATCTCCAAAAACTAACTCCTAATGTTTATTATTCCTCATAAGTAAATACTATGATCATGCATAAATATATTATGCACCCGCGCCAAAAGATGTCAGGAGAATGCCTATATGATCAAATTCCAGTTTTAATGGACTCATGTTTAAAACTGTAGGCTGTTTCAACCATGGCAACAATACAAACAAGGTGATTATTATTCTCCAAAATGACAGGAAGAGGAAGACTGCGCTCCCCAGGGTTTCGACTTTCAGTGTTCCGAAGAGAGTTTGGCTGCACGCGCATCGAAACGCGAGTGTGCCGCGAGGCGGGATCGGGGGGGACAAGTTAGGGGGTGGCTTTCAAGTGGGCCTATTTTCTTCCGATCAACACGGCGCTGGGGCCCATCAAGAGGAGGCTCCTTTCCTAAAGGGGCCCACACAAGAAGTGAAGGGTGGGCCCGGTCCACTTCCCAAATCACAGCGTCCCTTTCAACTCGGCAACGTCACCATGCAGGCACGACTGCCAAGGCAGTACCCCAATTAAACTAGTGCTCACTATTACTTTCACGTGGTCCTCAAACACAGCCTCTAATTCTAATCTTTGTTTTTATGTGTCCGTTAAATCATATAGACAAGTCTCAATATTGCTGAGCTCGTGTTGTTACTTGTTAATTGCACAGCGTCATCAATTAAAATGGTTTCTTTTGTTCCTGAATTTAGACACGCGCACATATACGCAGGTGGTTGTAAATAAGACGATGAAGGATGACCTTGCTTGAACTTTATTTCGCAGGAAGCTATTTCACGGGGAGCAAGGCTGGATGGCTCTCGTGTTGATATGATGCGGCTTTAATGATCAGCGCACACATGGGTTCATCCACCGGGAACAGCGCAACACGACGTACGGAAAGAATGGCTTTTTTGAAATTTTAGGCTGTGTTGTGTGCGTGTGATGTTGCTTGAAGCTGAAGCATCACAGACTGGAAAACATATGGATAATGAGGCCGTGACAAGCAAGTGAACCGCGAACAAATGAATTATATATATATGACGCCAGAGATATGAAAAGATCTGCCCCCATTATTTTAAGGCAGCAGTTTAATTAACGACACATGCAAGCGAGAATGACAAAGGAGAGAACAGACGAATATAAATGATAACGGTGGGCATGGATATTTTCATATATAAACAGTGAAGGAATTGAAGACGTGCAGAGCAGAGGGAAGAGAGTGAAGAAAGGAAGAGGAAGCTGAAACAGGACACGAAGTTGGGGCATCCTTGTATAAATGTGTCGCCTCCATTAATAAGATGAGATTTGAACCCACATATTTGGTGCCTGCCAACGGGAATGCATCCATATTTGTCTCGTTTGTCGTTATTTCTCAGCAT